CGACTCCAGCAGTGTGCGGTTACGGTTACAGTCGACATTGGGAGGGGAAACAGGAGCAGGCAGGCACATCCCTACGACGCGCGAGACCACCACTCCTGTGGATTCCCGCAGCATGAAAACCATCCACCGACTGGAAATCAGATCAGCTTCGCCCCCCTTAAAAAAAGAATGGCGCTTACCTGAAATGACTCCAGCAGTGTGCGGTTGCAGTCGACATTGGGGGGAGAAACCGGAGCAGGCACACCCCTATAGGGCGGGGGAACCACCAGCCCTGTGGCTTCCCCTGGCATAAAAACTGTCCCCCTACTGGAAATCAGAGCAGCTTCGTCTGGAGTCAACTCCCCCGCCTCTTGCCTCTGCTCAAACGGCCGCCCTCCCTGCTCTCCTTGCTCTAGAAACGGCCCTCCTTGCTCTCCCTGGTCTGAAAACGGCCCTCCCTTGTCTAGAAACGCCTCCCCTTGCTCCCCCACATCCCCTCCTGCAGCTGCATACCCTTGACCAAAACCCGCCCCATTCCCTCTCCCCTCCCTACACTCCTCCTCCTCCCCCCTTTCCGCTCCTCCCGCCCGTTCCTCCCCGCCAAACCTCCCCATAACCCCGGAGCTCGCATCGAACCTGTGAAACAGGTTCGGGGAGTGCTTCGGCGGAGCCCCGGCAACCCTAGCAATCAGCCCTTCAAGAAAATACGCAGAGAGCCTCTGAGTGACCGTCCCATAGACTGAGGCCACGTCATTAAGGCTTGAGAGCAGCTGGTGCACGCGTGCCTGGTCGCCTGAGACAATGGCCTTGGCGACTGAGACGAGGAGGGCGATTGGGTCTCCCTTCTTGGCGCATTCTCCCCATGAGTCGGGGCCAATGCAGCACGCTGCTTTCTGTGTGCCAAGCTGGTTGTTTAGCTGCTCCGGCGCTGGTGCTGCTGCTTCTGCTCCGTCCCCGACTCCTGCTGCTCCTGCTGCTGCTGCTGCTAATCCTCCTACTGCTGCTTCTCTCGAAAATATATCATCTCCAGCGTCAGCTGTTCCATTTTGATCCGCTGCTACTAGCTGCGGATCCCTAGCAGCAGCATTAGCTGTACCCGCAGCAATTGCAGCAGCATCAGCACCAGAAGCAACAGCAACAGCACCAGAAGCAACAGCAACAGCACCAGCACCATCAGCATCAGCGGCACTTGTAGCAGAGTCACAACATGCACACATGCACACCCCTCCATCCCCTTCCCCATCCCCCCCAACACAGCAGCACCCCTTTTTCTTGCTTTCCCCCTGACTACTCGTCCTCTTCCTCTCCTCCCACCGCTTAGTACACTCCCCATGAAGCTTCCTTAGAGCTTCCTCAGCCTGCCGAGCCTCTTCCGGAGTCACCTTCCCCGCCCAAGCCTGCCTCCCGCCCTCCCCTTCCTCCAGCAGCTTCGGGCTCCAAGGCGCAGTGGCTTCCGAGCCTGAACTCGAGGTCGTCGCCGAACGTCCCCTGCTGCCTTGGCGGTTGCTATTAGTCACGGTTGCAGTTCCAGTGGTGGTGGTGTAATTTGTCGTATCTGTTGTATCAGTTAAGCTCCCGCTGTTAGTATAGACCATCCCCTTCCCTCGATCCATAAGCTCTTGCACAAAGGCAACCATATCTGCATCTCCTGCTCCTGAAGCTACTCCTGGTGCTGCTCCTGCTCCTGCTGCTCCTGCTTCTGCTCCACCCATATCATCCACCATCATATCGTCAAAAGCATTTCCGCCACTACCACCAGCACCGCCGCCAGCTGCAGCAGAAGGGGCGGAAGCAGGAGCCTCAAGGGGAGGAGTGGGCGCGATCGCCACAGGAAACATATCTTCTAACTCTACAAACGCGTTATCAAGCCCATCTAAACCACGCAGAAACTCCTCTACACCGAGATCCGCCCATCCTGACCCTCCATCCAGCCCCATCTCGGCAATCCCAAGGCCACTGCTGCCACCGCTCCCAACCGTACCTACACCAGGAGCAGCACTATCAATCCCAGCATCAGTAGCAGCACCCAAACCGAAACCGACACTAGCACCAGCAGTAGCACCAGCATCACTACGAGAAGCATCTAGATTCGTTTCTGGGCCAGAATCAGTAGAAACATCCATAGATGTGCCTTCCCCAGTCCACCCCTGTCCCGCACTGCTAGTTCCCGCACTGTTCATATCTGTACTGTTCATCTCTGTACTCGAGTCAACCTGTAGCTCTACAGGCTCGTCCAAACCTTCTACTAACAGGTCAGCCAATAACGGATGCATGGACCCGCTCCCAGGCACACTGTTCACATTCCGACCACTATCAGTGTTGCCGTAACCACTACTACTGTTACCGTTTCCATTGTCCCCGCCGCCCATGCCTCTCGGCATCCTCCCAGCCGTCACTCTGCTCCCAGTTTGCCTGTGAGAGCCCTCCAAATTGCCTGCTGCTGCTGCTGTTTCTCCTCCCCCTCCTCTTGCTGCTGCTGCTCCTGCTGTTCCTGCTGCTCCTGTTCTTGCTGTTGAAGCAACGCCCAATCTGCTGCCTGTAGCATTTCCCTTAGTCGCTGAGACGATCACGTTCATAGCCTCCGAAACTCCTCCCCGCTGCCCTCGCCTTTCCGCACCTGTCCTCACCTCTCTCAAACCCTCCGCACCGAGGCCCAATCCGGTACCCGAATCCATTACATTGGGGTTGCTACCCAGCAATTCTTGAACCAGCGAATCGAATGTTACTTCTTCCAAGCCTGGCGCCGAGCCTGGTGGTGAACCTGAAGTTCCCGAACCCTGCTGAGCCTCGTTCCGAACCTGTACGCCAGACACGGCAGTGCCCACTGACTCCGATGGCGACGACCCCGCATTCCGCCCAGTCACCCCGAGCCTGTTACCCAACCTAGCACGAGGATCCGAACCTGCCTGTCCGGCATGCCTGGAACCCACGCGCTGGTGTGATCCACCCGAGCCTAAGCCTGGAAGCCCTGAAAAACGTGCTTGGCCTGCAGAATTTCCCGCACCTGCGGCACCAGCCAGACCTTGGGAACTCCGCGGGCTTCCCGGGCCACTGCCGGGGCTGTAGGTTCGTTTCCAGAGCTGCTGCAGGGATTGCGTGAGATTCCCCCCCGCGCGGGAGGGTCTTTCGGGGGAGCGAGTCCGCTTCGGGCGGACGGTGGACGGCGAAATTCCGTCCGCCGCCGACGGTGTTCCCGCTGGTTCACAAGGAGGTAGAAGAAAAAAATCCCGAGGTGAAACAGGACACACGTAAACGTTGAAATATTGAAAAGCATGGAGTGCCAACGCTACTTGTAAGAATAACGACCACGGAACGAACGGAATTCGGTGACACCAACGATAGTAAGCGTCTTGTTGGATAGAAACACGGAGAATGGTCAAGTTATGAAAAAGGGAAACGAGCTTATACCTAGCGGCCGTCGAAGCGAGGCAGCATCCGGAATCTGAGATTGAAGCCACGCCTTCTGAAGCCGCGACTCAAGGTCGGTGGGTAGGTCAGCGCGGGATTTCGCGAGCGTGGGACCGACGACGTGCGGATGGCTGCTGCCATTAACCGTCGGAAGCACTACTTTCTTCTTCTGCTGCGCGTGATGGTCCATTACGTCTCGTCTATTCGTGACTTTTGATGCCGGCAAGGAGTGATATTGCAACTTTCGAGGATAACGTAGCGTAGCGTCGTAGTGTCGGTCATGAAACAAGAGCTGGGAGCGCTAGGAGTCGGAACTACCAGTTACTTGACTGTGGAGGACCTTGAACACACGATGACCTAAAATGCCTCCTCGAGTTTCTGAAGTGTGACTTAGAAATTCAGGAATTGGAATGGGATGAGGAATTTCCAGTTATCAAGTAGGAAAACTCGGGACGTGTTTCCATAGCAAATATCGAATTGTATTTTGGAGTCATCGCGGGACAAGCTTCAACCTCTGCGACAAATTCTCACTTATCTTTGCTAAACACCTCCAGATAGTGTCTGTCATGTTACGTTCTGGATCACGAGTCATGGCAGAACCTTCGAGAGGGAGACGAAGCTTCGGCGACCTCCATGACTGTGAAATTTTACACACGCAATGCTGTACTACTGTCTATCGAATGCATGAGTTGCATATTCAATTCGAAGCACTCACTAGAAAGGATGTATTGACCTGCCCAACTCCTCTGTCCTACCACGTGTCCCTAGAAGATCGCAGGTGGTGCAAATCGGCGGGAATTGCAACCAATAACATATTCACTATCTGAAGCATGCATAACCGTTCGATGGATCTACGTGGCGCAGAGTGGCATCGTGTGCAGCAATACCATCACCACGCTCTTGCAGCGCCGCACCATACGAATATCCAAAAGCCCAAGAATGCCCGCATTGAGAAAAGTTACCGTACTGCACCGCACTCAGATGTGTCAGGTGAACACCCGAAGATTGCGTCAAAAGCATTCCCTAGGGAGGGCTTGCCAGTTCCAGGGTCACGGGATTTTCGAGACGAGAATCTCCGTCGGTGAGAATCTCCGTCAGTGGGCTTTTCAGCTGTAGTAGCCCAGTCTCGTAACCGAGAGTCACGGGAGTCTCGATTCTCGAGTTACGGGAGTTCAAAAAGTAGGCGAGTGTTGCGCTTCGTTTACACTGGTCGTGTCGTACCACCATTAGGACGCATACTTCAGCCGCCTCGTCCAGCAACCACGTCAGATCGACAATTACCACGCAGCTGATAGTCGCTTGTCGATATCGGAATCTCGTTAGTGAAGGGTTCGCTTTACGAAATATTGAAGTTCGCATTGGCCAGCCACTTTTTGTAACATATTTTGTGCAGCACCTGTAGTGGTTAGTTCGCGCTTTTAGTGCTTAGTGCAACAAAACCGTTCTCTGGTAGCTCCCGGCGGTGACTGCTTTGTACATCTGGCACTTGCACATCCGACAAACTCTCGACACGTTCCAGGAATTCAGCGTGTTAGCGGACTTTCCGCATCGTTTTGTATAATTATTAACGAGTCTATAGATTGCGCTTCTGGACACACTCCGAGCACATACTTATGGCGAGGATGAGCGGTGGGCAGCAGCGCGTGCAGGCGCCGCGACGGATCGGCGAGTACGAGGTTGGGGGAACGCTTGGCGAAGGGACGTTCGCGAAGGTGAAATACGCGGTGCACGCGACGACGGGCGAGCCCGTGGCGATGAAAGTGCTGGATAAGGAGAAAATTATTCGGCATAAAATGGTGGACCAGGTAGGCTGCCAGGGCTGTGAGGGTTGTGCGAGTTGTGAGGGCTGTGAGGGAAGGGACAGGCAAACTTATGCAGGTTCTGATAATGGCACAACGACTGGGGGCGATGAGAGTGCTGGATAACGAGAAGATAATTGGAAATGGCAGGCCAGGTAGGGAGTGGGGCAGGACCTCGCGTTCCAGCGATTTTTTGGCAATGATGTTCGTCGTTCCACGTTCTGATGCTGATAAGCGAGACCCTGCGTTCCGTCCCGTGGGCCCTAACCTGATTTACTTGATGGCTCTGCGTGGGTGTGTGTATGTGTGCAGATCAAGAGAGAGATTTCGGTGATGAAGCTCGTCCGGCACCCTAATGTGGTGCGGCTGTATGAGGTGAGCGAGAGTACTTTCTGAAAGGGTGGCTTGCAAACATGAATAGGAAAAAGTATGAAATCTGAGCTTCATCCTGACCTCTTCCTTCCCCCCTCTCCCAACCCTTTCTCCCCCCTTTCAGGTTCTCGCATCTCGCACCAAGATCTATATCATTCTCGAATTCGTCACAGGCGGAGAGCTCTTTGACAAGATTGTGAGTGCAAGCAAAGCCGTCTGGCTACGTTCTTGGTTAATGGGAGCGACTTCACGACTCACAGAGAGAAATGAGATCGATTCTGGTTTATTCTTCTAACCTTGAGAGGCTGAGACCGAGTTGTTGAGTCATATTTAGGTTTATTCTAATGCTACCTTGTGGTGAGACCGAGTTGTTGAGTCATATTTAGGTTTATTCTAATGCTACCTTGTGCTGAGAAATGAGATCGATTCTGGTTTATTCTTCTAACCTTGAGAGGCTGAGACCGAGTTGAGTCATATTTAGGTTTATTCTAACGCAGTAGGCACACCTACTTTCTGGGCGCAGGTGAACAAGGGTCGGCTGGAGGAGGAGGAGGCACGGCGGTATTTCCAGCAGCTGATAGACGCCATGGAGTATTGCCACAGCAAAGGCGTGGCCCACCGAGACCTCAAGGTAGGTGGAATGCTATAAATCCTATATGGGCGAGTTAGACTAGTGGGTTGACACAACCGCGGGCTCAAGCATCTCAAGGGAGGGGGTCGCGCTCAGCTCAACTGGAGGGCCCAGCCTGTCTAACCTCCTTCTTTGTTTGTGTGCTGCGTGTTCCCCGTCCCGTCTGCCAGCCTGAGAATCTTCTGCTAGATTCGAAGGATAATATAAAGATTTCGGATTTCGGCCTCAGCGCTCTGCCACAGCAAGTCAGGGTGAGAGTCGTGCTGCTGCGTTCACGACTTTGTTGCAAAAAAAACGCTCAATTCTTGCTGAACTCATGTATATTTGGATCGATTTGCTCGTCCCTATCTTCCCTGCGTTGGCCTGTCTATTGTCCCTCATCCTGGTCAACCAAGTGGCGTAAGTTCACCTTCACAACTACTGTAGCCTACTCTGTGTCTCTTGTCAGAACTTCTCATCTTGTCGACTCAGAGTGGATTCAAACTTGTTGGAATTGCAAAATCTCAGCATTGTGCAGTTTCCTCTTTCTTGGTGTACTTGTGTTTCTGCAGGCGGACGGCTTGCTCCACACCACGTGCGGCACGCCCAACTATGTTGCTCCAGAGGTAGGAGGCACGTGGGGCTTTGGGCGCATGGCTTTCCATCCACAGGCCTGTGGCTTCGTGCCTGTGGCTTCGTGCCTGTGGCTTCGTGCCTGTGGCTTCGTGCCTGTGGCTTCGTGTTTGTGGCTTCGTGTTTGTGGCTTCGTGCCTGTGGCTTCGTGCCTGTGGCTTCGTGCCTGTGGCTTCGTGCCTGTGGCTTCGTGTTTGTGGCTTCGTGTTTGTGGCTTCGTGCCTGCTGGCTTCGTGTTTGTGGCTTCGTGTTTGTGGCTTCGTGCCTGCTGGCTTCGTGTTTGTGGCTTCGTGTTTGTGGCTTCGTGCCTGCTGGCTTCGTGTTTGTGGCTTCGTGTTTGTGGCTTCGTGCCGGTAGCCTTTCACCAACTCCAGATGGGTCGTCTCGTTTCTTAAGATTTTGCCATCTCTTGATGTGTCTCGGAGAGATTTGCTTTTGTTCCGATGATTCGTTTCGTGTACAGCATGGCTTACGATGGAGCTCGTCACGCTTATCCCTCTTGGATCAAGGGTTTGGAAATAACTGGGAAGCTTCTGTAGTGATACGGTGTCGAAATGAATTGGGAAGCTTTTGCTGCCTGCAAGGAGAGGCTTATTTGAACTTTGGACTGTTATCAGCTCTCCCTATTCTTCCCCCCCCTCCCCACACACATGCACAGGTGCTGAGTGACAGAGGGTACATCTGGGTCTTGGCAGACATCTGGTCGTGCAGAGTCATTCTCTACCTCCTCCTCCTCACCAGTCCTCCTTCCATTCCTCCCGCCCTTCACAATTCCTTCCCTCTCCCCCCTTTCACATGCACACATGCACAGGTGCTGAGTGACAGAGGGTACAGTGGGGTCCTGGCAGACATCTGGTCGTGCAAAGTCATTCTCTCCACGTCCTTTGAGCCACTTTATAGGCCTTCAGAGCTCTCCTCTCCTCTCCCCTCCCCCACACACACTCTCAGGTGCTGAGTGACAGAGGGTACAACGGGGTTCTGGTAGACATCTGGTCGTGTGGGGTCATTCTCTACGTCCTGCTTGTTTCCCCCTCTCCCCCCCCCCCTTCCTTCCCTCGCACACACACGACACACACACTCTCAGGTGCTGAGTGACAGAGGCTACAACGGGGTTTTGGCGGACATCTGGTCATGCGGGGTCATTCTCTACGTGCTCCTTGCCGGCTTCCTCCCCTTCGATGAGCCTGACGTCCCTTCTCTCTACAAGAAGGTACCTGCTCTCTCTCCCTGCTCTCTCTCACTCACTGCTCCATTTTCTCTTCTCTTCAAAGTCATTCTCTACGTCCTCCTTGCTGGCTTTCTCCCCTTTGACGAGCCTGACGTGCCTTCCCTGCACAAAAAGGTACGTGCTCTCTCCCCCTGCTCCGCTCTCTCCCCCCTGCTCTGCTCTCTCCCCCTGCTCTGCTCTCTCCCCCTGCTCTGCTCTCTCCCCCTGCTCTGCTCTCTCCCCTTGCTCTCTCGCCCGAGGTGCCTCAAAACTCGCTTGTTCAAAGTTCTGCTTCCAGATACCCCTTCGCACCCACCCCACCTCTTCCCGTCTCCTCCAGTTATATTTTCCACACAGATCACTTTTGAGTCGACTCTTAAGTTATCTCGCTTGCTCATAGTTCTGCTTTCTGATCCACACGCACCCCCACCTCTTTCCCTCACCTCCACTTATGCTTTCCACACAGATCACTTTTGAGTCGACTTAAACGTGAACTCGCTGTTCAGATTTCTGCTTTCTGATCGTCCACGCACCCCCACCTCTTCCCTTCTCCTCCACTTATGCTTTCCACACAGATCCAACGGTCGGATTTTGGGTTCCCCACGTGGTTCTCTGCTGGAGCAAAGAGGCTCATCACTGGCATTTTGCAGCCCAACCCTAAACTGGTGAGTTAGCAGAGTGTGGGTTGCCTTGTCTTGTCTTGATGGAAAAAAAGAGTTTTCATTTTCAGACGTACATCCTAGCGAATTCCCCATGTGGTTCTCTGCTGGGGCAAAGAGGCTCATCACTGGCATTTTGCAGCCCAACATCACTGTTTTTTCTTGCCTGGTTATGGTTTGACAAGAAGGCGTGTAACGCCTTGCTGCTAGTCCCTCTTTCTAGACACAAACAACAACTGATGATTTAGTAAACTTTGAATTCACTTCTCGTGTCCGTCTTCCCCCCAACACTAATTTACGTGGGCAGAGGTATCAATACCAGGAAGAAAGGAAGGATACATGGTTCTTGACCAACTATGTGCATGTGCTATGTCAACGTAATCATTCTTCCACACTCTTCTTCCTCACCCTTCCCGCCCCTTGAACCATTCCCACCCGCGTGTGCAGAGGTACCGGTATCAGGAAATAAAAAAGGACCCATGGTTCCGCACCAACTATGTTCCTGTGCCGGTCCCTGTTGATACTGCTGACGACAATATGAATGATGTTGATGCTGCCTTCGGTGCTGCTCCTGCTGCTCCTGCTGCTGCTGCTGGTGCTGCTGCTGCTCCTTCTGGTGCTGTCAAATCCGCTGCTCCCGGTGGTGCTGCTTCTGGCGCTGCTTCTCGTGCAGCCAAGTCTGCTGCTGGCAGTGCTGGTAGTGCTGGTAGTACCCTTGTTGGTAGTGAGAATGCGTCTGGGACTTGCAAAGGCAGTGGTTCAAGTGCGGGCACCAGTGGTTGTGCTTCATGCTCTGAGCAGCAGCAGCAGCATCAGAATGAGCAACAGGTTCAGAGCGGTTTGGAGGGGCCTGGGGACCTGAAGGGTTCACACAGAGGGGGGTTGTCTTGTCAGCTGGGAGGCATGACTCCTGTGCTCAATTACAAGAGTGGAAGAGGAGTGGAGCACACTCCATTTGGTGTGAAGAGTGATACCAACAAGAGTAGCGGAAGCAACAACAGTAGCAGCAGCAGCAGCAGCAGCAGCAGCAGCAGCAGCAGCAGCAGCAGCAGCAAAAGCACTGCCACCATCAGTGCCGCCACCACCAGCACCAGCGTAAGCGGGAGCAGGAGCAGCGGCAACAACAGTCCAACGATCATTCATGGGTTTTCACTCAACAGCAGCAACAGCACTAGCAATGCATGCCATGGTGACCCCAGCAGCTGTAGCCAGGATACCAGCTCATGCTACAACCGAAGCTGTAGCTCTAGCCAGAACAGTACTGCCTGCTGCTGCCCAAGCTGCAGTCACAGCACCCACAGCACGAGTGTGTGTTACAACCCCGGCTGTAGCACGCACGCCAGTGTGTGTCAGGGCGCGACGGCGTGCCAATACCCCGGCTGTAGCGAGGATTTTCCCTGTAGCGAGAATCTGCCGTGTAGCAGTGCATGTGAGGAGGCACATGCAGATAGGCATCTTTTGGCTGCAGGCGTGAGAGGGGTAACGAGTGTGACTGTAAGGGGTATGAGGGGCAGCAGAGGCGGGGTTGGTGGGACGATTGAGGAAGGGGAGGCAGAAGGGGAGGATAGTGGGGATGACAGTGGGGGGGAAGGGGGAGGAGGGGGAGGAACGGGGGGAACGGGAGGGGAATGGGGAGGGGTGAGAGGAGGGGTAGGGAGGGCGGATGGGGCATGGGAGAAAGGATCGAGACCAGAGACGTTAAATGCTTTTGCTCTATTAAATTTGGCTCAAGGATTCGACCTTGGGGGGTTGTTTAGCAGTCCGGCCCTCTTTGGTGGGAAACGGGAAGGACAGAGACCCTGGGAGAGTGGAGCAGGAGGAGGGGGAGACAGAAGAGGAGGGGAGGGAGGAGTAAGTGCGGAGAGCGTGTCGAAAGTGCGGGGGAGGGAGGAACGAATGGAGGAGGAGGAAGTGTGGCGTTATAAGCAGGCTCGGTTCTTGTCACATGCGCCTGTGGGGCGTCTGGTTGGGAGGGTGGAGGCAGCAGCAGGGGAGCTGGGCTGGCGCGTGGAGAGAGAGGGATTCAAGGTGGGTGGCGAATGAACTGGATTTTTGCTTGCGCTCATGTTTTCCTTCGCCCTCCCCTTTCCCTTGTCCCCCTCTTTCCCTCGCCCCCCTGTCCCTCGGGCCACCCCCCCTTTTTCACAACCCCTCCCAAGGAAAAAGAGGGAATGAAGCAACGTGTCTACTATTATTTCTCTTACTACTCGTCTGATTCGTCCTCTGTCCAAGCTCACCTTGGTGATCCCTCCTTGCCGCTTTTCCCTCTTCTGGTCTTTGCCTTACTGGACAGTTTCGACTTGAGTTGAGACACGCAGCACTAGCACCAACAGCAGTAACGACACCAGCAGCAGCAGCAGCAGTAACGACACCAGCTACCGATAAAGCAGTTGCTCTCCCTGTAACAGCTACGTCAGCAGTAGTAGCACGAGAATCAGATGCAACCACACCCTCAGTGGCAGCAGAAACTGCAGTAGCTGCAGAAACTGCAGAAACGGCAGAAGCTGCAGAAACTGCAATAACGAGAGACCCAACAGATGCAAGTGAAGCCACAGACGAAGTTGTCGCAGCAGCAGAAGCAAGAGGAGCAGATGCAGCCACACCCTCAGTGGCAGCAGAAACGGAAGATATGGAAGAACCAACAGAAACTGCTGATGCTGCTGCTTCTCCTGCTGCTGGTGGTGCTGCTGCTGCTTCTATTTCGGCTGGAGATGTGGAGATGTCACCTGCTGTGGCTAGGCTCTCTGTTGTTGCTGCTGTGGTTGTGGAGGTAAGGGAATTGCCGGCAGCACGATTGTAGGTGTGAGTGCATGGAACTCTGTCGTTGCTTGCAGCTGTAGTTGTGGAGGTAAGGATGGGTCCTTCTGTGGGCGTAAGTACTTACATGCCTGCATGCCTGTGCATCCTCCTTGCCCCCATTCAGGTGTTTGCCATTCTCCCCAGCCTCCTCATGGTGGAGATGCGGCATGAATTGGGCCGCACACAGGAGTCTCTGCAGGTACGTTGCTCGTTGCATGGGTGCATGTGCACGCGCGCACATTCATGCAGCTGCTTGTTGCTCGCTATTCACCCCAGCCTTCTTATGGTGGAGATGCGGCATGAATTGGGCCGCACACAGGAGTCTCTGCAGGTACGTTGCTCGTTGCATGGGTGCATGTGCACGCGCGCACATTCATGCAGCTGCTTGTTGCTCGCCATTCTCCCCAGCCTCCTTATGGTGGAGATGCGGCATGAATCGGGGGGCACACAGGAGTCTATCCAGGTGCGTTGCTCGATGCATAGGTGCATAGGCGCAGGTGCTTATTCACACTATTGCTTGTTTGCCATTCTCCCCAGAGGTGGAGATGCGGCATGAGTCGGGCGGCTCACAGAAGTCCTTGCAGGTGCGTGGCAGTTACAAGATCGTAAGAATGCATGTGTGCATGTGTGCATGTGTGCCTGTGTGCATGTGTGCATGTGTGCATGTGTGCATGTGTGCCTGTGTGCATGTGTGCATGTGTGCATGTGTGCATGTGTGCCTGTGTGCATGTGTGCCTATCCATGCAACTCTGTGTTTGCCATTCTCCCCAACCTCCCCGGCCTCCTCATGTTGGAGATGCAGCACAAAACAGGAGTCCTTGCTTCTGTGATCGCATCCCATCCCATCTCATCCCTTCCCTTCCCACCCTACCACATCCCACCCCACCCCATCCTCGCTACCCAGATGCGCCATGCACTACGCGCCAAGCTTCAAGACCTGATTACAGCCCCACACACCCCAAACACAGCAAACGATAAAAGCAGCAAGGGCAAGGGCACGGGGCTTAAGCAAACCCGCCCGCGGCAGCTTGTAAGTGCTCTACCTGCTATATTGTTTTTTTTACGCAAATAAATGGGACCCACCAATCAAGGAGCCTCGTTTCTATGCATGGTGTTCCCCCCCCCCTCCCCTCCTCCCCCCACACCCCCTCCCACCCCGTTTCTAGACATTTTTAAACTCCCACTCCCTTCATGTTTCTTTCATTCCTTTATTTTATTCAGGCTGCTTATCCCACAGGTGACTTCTGAATCAACTCAATTATTTTTCAAGAATGATTCAAAACTCCGACTCCTCCCCGATTCTCCTGTGGCTTGTCCTGTTCAGGCCGCTTATCCCCGCATGGGGATCATTCCACGTGTGTAACCACCACAGTGTTGCATGTAAGCGTTTGGCATCACAGAATCAGCTGGTGAAATGTTACCTGGCAGCAGTGAGGGAGGGTGTAACAACAAGGGCAGTACCGGCACTACTATGCAGTACAATCTGAAAATCTTACTGCGGTTGATGATTCTTTTTCCTCCCGTGTTATAGTATTGCAGTGCATATCAGCCAGCTGTTCAGCATGTCGATATTAATGTTAATATATATACCCCTAAGTGGGTTCTATTACTGCATACATTATTTTGCAATGCAATCACTGAACCAGTGTAAGGCTGTGAGCCCATTCCTATCCGTGTAAACAACAGCACAAAGCAATGGCTTCTTTTCTTTACAGTGCAGTTACTTATGGGATGTTTGAAAACCACATGCGGCACATGATCATAAACAGGTAATTATAATTGCACTTTTGGTCATTGATCTATACCCAAACCCAAACCTAGGCGAATGGAGGTAGGATGTATTAAGAGTCCATTGGTAGATGCCTATGGCATTGTACCTCATATGAACCTTCTAGGGGGTAGTGAGGAGATCCTGTAACGAGGATAATTGTGGGGGCAGCTCCACCCATCCCCCTGCCACTAGCACCAGGAAAAGCCAGACAGGGAAGATTCCCAGAAGCAGAACGAGACTAAACCCAAGCGGGGGACCTGGCATAGAGGGATGAAGGTGGAAAAGGGCAGGAGGACATGTTTCAAACATCAGACATTGAAAGCAGCACAGGCTGAACCCAAGTAAGGGCCCTGGTGTCGAGGGATAGTAAAGATGGGAAGTGGCAACACTGAACAAGCCACCAGCGACCACTCATTACCGTAGTCTGCCACTCACCACCACTCACTATCACTGGCTACCACTCACCACCACCCACCACCACTGACAAGTAAAACTCTCTAGTGGCATGGCATTCTGCTTCAACATAGTTCCAGACGAAAAAAATGCAAGTTTCCTACACTCCAAAAACTGCTGCCACCCTAAATCCTGATTCCAGACGCTAAACCTTGATATAGAGCATGGCTCGTCTCGTTATGAGCCACGACAAGGCAGCAGGCTGGGGTTGACGAGCCAGCAGGCTTGGGTTGACGAGCCAGCAGGCTTGGGTTGACGAGCCAGGCCATCAGATTAAGCACCAGATTAAAAGGCAGATTAAAAGGCAGATTAAAAGGCAGATTAACCGGCAGATTAAAAGGCAGATTAACCGGCTTGCTGCTTGTTGATAGGGGGCGAGTTGAGACGCGCCATTTGAGACGTCTCAAAACACTCCTTCTTTCACGTGGCTTGTTGATAGGGGGCGAGTTGAGACGAGCCATGCCAGTTTTTCAACTCTTGACTCTCTCGCTCACTGCCTTAGTGACTTGTTGCTTAAACCTACTCCTACGCAACTGCTGCTCACTGGAAAATGTCCCAAGATCTCTCTCGCTCACTCTCAACCTCAATCCTTTTTGTCCTCAACCCAAAACCCTGAATCACTTCTCTCATCTCTCACCCTTCCTGGCGTCTGTCACCCTTCACATCCCCTCACTCACTTACCTGCCATCTCCCCCTCTCCCTCCTTCCTTATCAACTTCTCCTATGCCAACCCACATCCACCCTCGCATAATTCACCCTCCTTTCTCACTCAGACATTCTCTTTTACCCACCCTTCACACCCCTTAACACTCACCTGCCATTTCATCCTCCCCTTCCTTCTTGATAGTCTTCTCCTCCAACCATTCGCCCACTCTCTTGGCGGACTTCACCGCTTCCCACTCCTCCACACCCCCGCTGAGCTGCCCAAACCCCTGCTCATCCAGTTCATCCAAAATCGACTTCTGGTTGGAATTAGGGTCCCTGGGGGGTCAAGAAATGGGGAGGGAGAGGCGGGCGCATGGGGAAGAGGGGTATTAAGTCACCTGAAATTTTATTCACCGCTTCCCACTCCTCCATACCCGCTCTGAGCTGCCCAAACTCCTGCTCATCCAGTTCATTCGAAATCGACTTCTGGTTGGAATTAGAGTCCCTGGAGAGAGGAAGGTGGAAAGGAGGGAGGCGGGGAGAGGGGGGTGAAGAGGAGAGGGGGGTGAAGAGGAGAGGATTAGGGAAAATGGTGTCTCAACTTTTGAGTCGACTCAAAAGTCAACTCAGACCCGAACCCCTGCTCATCCAGTTTCATCCAATATCGACTTCTGGTTGGAATTAGGGTCCCTGAGATATGGAAAAAAAAAGGGGATGAGGAAAGCAGGGCAGGAGGTGGTGAGTGAGGAGAGTTGATTCAAGAATCGGCTACCACTTTCCACTCCTCCATACCCCCTCCCGATCTTACCACACCCCTGCGCGCTCATCCAGCTCGATTGGTGGGAGGGGGGGGGGGGGGGGGGGGGGGGAAGGTGGGAGGAGGGTGAAAGGGGAGAGGGGGGAGGAGGGGAGGGGGTTGAAGGGGGGAGGTTGCGATTGGAGTTGCTGTCGAGAGAGAGAAAAAAAACAAAAACAAAAATATAATTAAACGGGTGACTGTCAATTCCCACCTTCTGCGAAGCTGCGGGCGCGCGGAAGGGGGAGGAGGAGCGGAAGGCCTGGGGGAAGCGGAACCTCCTCCCTTGGGGGAGGCGGGAACCCCGTCCCCCCGTTGCACCCCGAGAATCTCTCGCTCCAGATCCGACAAACGACGCCGCCCCCAGACCTGATCGTCCCGCTTCTCCTGGCGACTTTCCTGCCCGTTCGCTACCGCCGCATTTTCCTTCGCGCCGCCTTTTCTGACGTCCTTAATCTCTCCTGCCCCATCCCCAGACCCGCCATTCGCCTTCGCCGCGCCGTTCTCGCCTCCAGGCGTGTTTCCGGGAGCCGCGTCGCATGTCACTAGAACGCGCTTTAATCGCCTAGCTGAAGGAGACGGCTGTGGAACGGAGACGGTAATTAATCGCCTAGTTCTGAAGGAGGCGTTGCGCGAGAGTGCTTCGCGCAACGAGAGACGGGCGCGAGGTGTAGGGAGGGGTGCGCAAGTGAGCGGGGCTGCAAGTTGGAGCGCGTTTGCCGCCATGACAGAACGGAAAAGGAGTGTAGAGACGAATCGAACGGGTTTGACCGAGCTACGTGTGACACTAAATGCCCAACTGAGAAGTATACTACACACTAATGAGTGAGCCTTGGAGAAAATGCCCGACTAAGGACGTGTCTCATGTGAAGGGTCCGCTGGATCTGGTCCGCGACAGAATCTATACACCGGCCCGGGGTTCTGGTCCGACGGACCCACTTGGCGGACCAGCGTTGGACCAGACACGGACTGGTCTGCCTGATGCGTCGCGCTTCGGGCTGCACAGTATTTGCGAGATGCAGCAGTAGCGACGAGTTTGAAATTGAGCTACCAGTTGTCTTCGTCTGCACAAAAATCTCACGCGAAACTTACAAAACAAGAAATTTCGCCAAAAACAAATGTTTCGCCACCTACTGTTTACGGACCAGGCGCGGACCGGTCTGGAGGGCCAAATAAATGGCACCGTTTTAGTGCCATTCGAACGGTATAACGGGGCTACAAGCCCGCATCCTGGTCCCGGTCAGCCCTGGTTCACGCGCTGATTCTTGAGCTGGTCCGTCAGGTCCGAGCCGGACCCACGTGGACTCAGACATCTGAGACACCCTCTAATTTATGTGTGTGTGTGTGTTTTTTTTTTTTGGCGCGAAGACTAATTCTTGGGTTGCCGAGCTCAGCGCCCGTACTTGTTAAACATTGTCGTTCAAAGTACGACTTCGATTGCATGATACAGGTTGAATACTTTAAAAACATCCGTATTCTCAGTGCGTTTGTCATGTTAATGAGCACCTCAACTCTCTCCTCATTACGTCTTCTCTTTGCCCAATCCCACTACCTGTCAAACCAATATAATTTACTTCAAGTGTGATTTCCAGAGCACTAGCAGAAGACTTGCCCCCTCCTACTCCTGCTGCAGCTTCTGCTGCTGCCAATTCTGCAAGTAATGCCTTGGTACTACTTCAATTCTCCATTATGCCATCACTCTTCTAGCCCATTTTTCACCACATCTCCTCGATTACCCAAACATCCCCACAGCCGCCGCCTCCTCTAATATATCCAGATCATCAGCTGGATACCTGGCCGCCGCTGCTGCTGCTTCTTCACGCCTCTGCTCCACTTCCCCTCTCTCACCCTTTTATCCTTGTTACCCTTCGTTCCAGTCCCCTTCACTCCGCCCACTAACCCCCCAAACACCCCCACAACCGCCTCCTCTAATATCTCCAGAGCATTAGCAGGAAACCTGGCCGCCGCTGCTGCTGCAAATGCTTCTTCTTCTTTCTGACTACTCCTTTATACCCTTCTTTCCAGTCTCCTTCCCTCCTCCCAATACCCCCCCAAACACCCCCACAGCCGCCTCCTCTTCCAAAATCTCGATAGCATCAGCAGAAGATCTGGCCGCTGCTGCTGCTGCTGTTCTTACTTCTTGACCTTCTTCCCTCCAACATCTCCCCCACCTCGCACCATTCCTCCAAACACCCCCACAGCCGCCTCTTCTTCCAGAATCTCCAGAGCATCGGCAGGAGATCTGGCCGCTGCTGCTGCCCGCCGCACTCCCATTGGCCGGTCGCCCTCCTCCTCGCCCACAGAGCACCATGTGGCGCGAGCCCATTGGTCCATGTGGTACGCCACCTGCTCTGGCACCTCATCATGGGGGCAGTGACCTGAGATGGAGAAGTGGGAGGGAAAGGGGGAGGGAAAGAGAGAGGGAAAGGAGGGGAAGGGGAGTGGGGGTGCGGGGCAATGGAGATGGGATGTGAATGGGAGGCATGTCTAGAGAACCAGTCATTGGTCCATGTGGTAGGCTACCTGCTCTGACACCTCATCATGGGGGCAGTGCCCTGTGGTGGTTGGGGAAGGGAAGGGGGAAGTGAGGGGGTGGAATGTGGGGGAATGGAGATGGGAGTGAAAGGAAAGCCTGTGTGTGCAAAACCAGGCCATTGGTCCATGTGGCGTGCCACCTGCTCTGACACTTCATCATGGGGAGCAGTGCCGTGTGGAGTCAAGCTGATAAGGTGCGCGTTCACGCAAGTTTCCAAGTATAGCAGACATAGGTGATTTCAGTGCAACAACCGATAGGTTGTTGTTAGTGGTAGCGCAAGAGGACGTCTTATTTGTTTCAAGCAGCACCCACCTGCTTTGAGCAACTTCAGGGCGACCCCAGGGCAGGTGGCCGTAATAAGGTTGGCTCTTGCCACTGCATCGTTGAGAGGGTCGAGACTACCCTGCAGGGGAAAGAGAGGGTGGACAGGCGGGGAACATGAGAGGGGAACAGAAGGAGAAACGTTAGTACGATGCCATGATGAGGTTGGCTCTCTAGCCACTGCTTTAGCCACGCGGTGCAACACCAGCTGAGGCAGTAACACAGCCACTAACGAGATTACACCTGCAGCACAAACACCATGCCTGCAGCACCACCAGCACCGTACCTGCCTCACCACCAGCATCGCACCTGCAGCGCGAGCACCATACCTGCAGCACCAGCAATGGCCCGCCGTATCGGATGTGCAGGCTGTTGAGGGGCTCTGGCTTGAGCAGGTAGAAGGCACTCTCCACCACCTCGACTGTCCCCGGGCCTTAGGTGAACCAAGTCCACTGAGAGACACTCTCTGGCAAGCAGTGCAACACTACCTGAGGCAGTAACACAGCTACTGTACCTGCAGCACCAGCACCGGCCCGCCGTATCAGATGAGCAGGCTTTTGAAGGGTTCGGGCTTGGGCAGGTACAATGCACTCTCCACCACCCCCACCACCTCCGCTGTACCTTCAGCACCAGCACCATACCTGCAGCAACCATACCTGAGGCAGTAAAGAGTGTGACTATACCTGCAGCACCAGCACTGGCCCTCCGTATCGAATGAGCAGGCTGTTGAGAGGCTCCGGCTTGGGCAGGTAGAATGCGCTCTCCACCACCTCCACCGCAACACAACACACCTACCTGAGGCAAATTTGCATCATCAACCGTACCTCAGACAGGAAAGAGTATGACTGTACCTGCAGCACCAGCACCGGCCCGCCGTATCGGATGAGCAGGCTGTTGAGGGGCTCCGGCTTAGGCAGGTAGAATGCACTCTCCACCACCTCGACTGCCCCCGGGTCGGTTGCTGCTCGGGAGATCTCCCCTAGAAGCCAGTCGTCAGCCCTCTCAGGCCTCTGGTGGGGGGATCGAGAGTTCATGAAAGGATGGCATGGAACTAAGGTCGGAATGCAAGGAGTGTTTTGAGACGTCTCAAAACACTCCTTTTTTTCACGTTTTTTGAGACGTCTCGAAACTAAGGTCGGAATGCAAGGAAGCGGGCAGGATGAAGGGGCTCTCCACCACCTCCTCTCCTCTGCCCCTGATCGGTGGCTGCTCGGGAGATCTCCCCTAGAAGCCAGTCGTCAGCCCTCTCACTCAGGCCTCTGGTGGGGATAAGGGGAACATAAATATTTAGTGAACTGCTGGAGTGGAGGCGCAAGGAGGGGGGTGCTCCACACTCTCCACCACCTGTTGAACTGGAAAATAATGACATTTCAAATCTTCAAAGTCCGGGCCTAGGGAACTTATCACGGGGTAGCAGCGCTTGAGGATGGGGCCTGAGTTGAAGCGGAGGTACAGGAAGAGAGCACGAGAGAGCATAGGGAGAGCACAGGACAGCACAGGGAGGGAGAGAGAGGGACAAGGGACTCACCACAGGGTAGCAGCTCTTGAGTTGACTTTTGAGTCGACTCAAAAGTCAACTCGGAGTTGACTTTTGAGTCGACTCAAGAGAGGGACAAGGGACTCACCACAGGGTAGCAGCTCTTGAGGATGGGGCCTGTGTTGAAGCGCAGGTAGAGGAAGAGAGCACGAGAGAGCACAGGGAGAGAGAGGGCCGAAAATCTTACCACGGGGTAACAACGTTTAAGAATGGGGCCTGTGTTGAAGCGCAGGTAGAGGAAGAGAGCACGAGACAGCAGCCAGGCTACCGGCTTGGGAGGGCCCTTGGATAAGGGGCCGTCAGGAGGGGGAGACGGGGGCGAGGAGGAGGTGGAGGAATCAGAGGAGGACGAGGTGGCAGGGATGGGAATTTCTGGGTCGATTCGGCCAGCGGAGTTGAATAAGACAAGGGAGGCCACTAGGTCAGGCCACTGGCCGGCAACTGAAGAAACCGTGTAGCCTGATTGCGATGAGGGTGGGAGCAATGAGGGGGGGATGGAAGAAAACAGGAAAGGGGAAAGAGATGAGTGCGGCGGTCCAAGGAGGGAGGATATGAGAATTGCGCCCTGAGAAGAGAGGACAGGTGGGAATGAGAATTGAGCCCTCAAGAGAGGACAGGTGGGAATGAGAATTGAGCCCTCAAGAGAGGACAGGTGGGAATGAGAATTGAGCCCTCAAGAGAGGACAGGTGGGAATGAGAATTGAGCCCTCAAGAGAGGACAGGTGGGAATGAGAATTGAGCCCTCAAGAGAGGACAGGTGGGAATGAGAATTGAGCCCTCAAGAGAGGACAGGTGGGAATGAGAATTGAGCCCTCAAGAGAGGACAGGTGGGAATGAGAATTGAGCCCTCAAGAGAGGACAGGTGGGAATGAGAATTGAGCCCTCAAGAGAGGACAGGTGGGAATGAGAATTGAGCCCTCAAGAGAGGACAGGTGGGAATGAGAATTGAGCCCTCAAGAGAGGACAGGTGGGAATGAGAATTGAGCCCTCAAGAGAGGACAGGTGGGAATGAGAATTGCGCCCTCAAGAGAGGACAGGTGGGAATGAGAATTGAGCCCTCAAGAGAGGACAGGTGGGAATGAGAATTGAGCCCTCAAGAGAGGACAGGTGGGAATGAGAATTGAGCCCTCAAGAGAGGACAGGTGGGAACACTTCTTCAAACAAGGAGGGAGGATATGAGAATTGCGCCCTGAGAACAAGATGGGTCAAAACTGGATGAGGGAATGAGTATGATTGGATTGCTTGCATCGCGTCCAATGGGAATACAGCACCTTCATCTCCAACAGGAGATGCCGCCCGCTGCCACCCACCTCCAATTGAGTTGCCGCCCAGAACCACCGGCTCGCCGATCACTTCGCGGATAAAATCCGCCACGCAGTCGCGCCACACGTACTGCGTGTACGACCAAAAAGGTTTTTCTGCCCGGCCGAATCCGGGCAGCGTGAGCGCCCAAACGCGGTGCCCTGAGGCTGCTAGTGGCCGCATGACGTCGCGAAAGTGCTGCCAGAACGCTCCAAATCCGTGAACAAAGAGGATGGCTGGTCCTTCTGTGCCGACAGAGCCATACTGGAGGTGGAATGTGTTGGGGAGGATGGGACGGGTATTTTTGAGGCGCCTCAAGAATAGGATGGCTGGTCCTTCTGTGCCGACAGAGCCATACTGGAGGTGGAATGTGTTGGGGAGGATGGGACGGGTATTTTTGAGGCGCCTCAAGAATAGGATGGCTGGTCCTTCTGTGCTGACAGAAGCGTACTGGAGTTGGAATGAGGGTGGACAGAGAGGGGTGTGAGAGTGGTTGACAGGGCAGCTTGATTGAAAACAGCCACTAGAGGCCGCATGACGTCGCGAAAATGCTGCCAGACCGCTCCAAAGCAGTGAACAACGAAAATGGCTGGTGCCTCTGTGCCTGTTGAGCCGTACTGGGAGGGGAATCCGGGTGGGTGGAGAAAGGTGAGGGAGGGAAGCGGTGGGCAGTGTGAGCACCCAAACGCGGCGCCAGGGTCCAGAGACGGCTAAGGGGCTTTTGAGTCGCCTCAAGAATTAACGTGAGCGCCCTAACACGGTGCCCGGAGCTCAAAAAAAAAAAAAAACAAGAAATAGAAGACAAAAAATAATAGGAGCGCTTACCTGAATGAGAGCCCACCTCCACCTCCCGTGACCAACTGTCGGGTCAAACTCCTGAGGTGACTTTTGAGTCGACTCAAAAGTTACCTGAATGAGCGCCCCCCTCCACCTCCAGTGACCAACTGTCGGGTCAAACTCCTGAGGTGACTTTTGAGTCGACTCAAAAGTTACCTGAATGAGCGCCCCCCTCCACCTCCAGTGACCAACTGTCGGGTCAAACTCCTGAGGTGACTTTTGAGTCGACTCAAAAGTTACCTGAATGAGCGCCCCCCTCCACCTCCAGTGACCAACTGTCGGGTCAAACTCCTGAGGTGACTTTTGAGTCGACTCAAAAGTTACCTGAATGAGCGCCCCCCTCCACCTCCAGTGACCAACTGTCGGGTCAAACTCCTGAGGTGACTTTTGAGTCGACTCAAAAGTTACCTGAATGAGCGCCCCCCTCCACCTCCAGTGACCAACTGTCGGGTCAAACTCCTGAGCTGACTTTTGAGTCGACTCAAAAGTTACCTGAATGAGCGCCCCCCTCCACCTCCAGTGACCAACTGTCGGGTCAAACTCCTGAGCTGACTTTTGAGTCGACTCAAAAGTTACCTGAATGAGCGCCCCCCTCCACCTCCAGTGACCAACTGTCGGGTCAAACTCCTGAGCTGACTTTTGAGTCGACGCAAAAGTTACCTGAATGAGCGCCCCCCTCCACCTCCAGTGACCAACTGTCGGGTCAAACTCCTGAGCTGACTTTTGAGTCGACTCAAAAGTTACCTGAATGAGCGCCCCCCTCCACCTCCAGTGACCAACTGTCGGGTCAAACTCCTGAGCTGACTTTTGAGTCGACTCAAAAGTTACCTGAATGAGCGCCCCCCTCCACCTCCAGTGACCAACTGTCGGGTCAAACTCCTGAGCTGACTTTTGAGTCGACTCAAAAGTTACCTGAATGAGCGCCCCCCTCCACCTCCAGTGACCAACTGTCGGGTCAAACTCCTGAGGTGACTTTTGAGTCGACTCAAAAGTTACCTGAATGAGCGCCCCCCTCCACCTCCAGTGACCAACTGTCGAGTCAAACTCCTGAGGTGACTTTTGAGTCGACTCAAAAGTTACCTGAATGAGCGCCCCCCTCCACCTCCAGTGACCAACTGTCGGGTCAAACTCCTGAGCTGACTTTTGAGTCGACTCAAAAGTTACCTGAATGAGAGCCCCCCTCCACCTCCAGTGACCAACTGTCGAGTCAAACTCCTGAGGTGACTTTTGAGTCGACTCAAAAGTTACCTGAATGAGCGCCCCCCTCCACCTCCAGTGACCAACTGTCGGGTCAAACTCCTCCGATGGCGGGACGGCGAGGAAGGAGCTGCTGCTCTCATCCTCCGACTCTGATGCAGAGGAGGAGGAGGAGGAGGAGGAGGAGGAGGAGGAGGAGGAGGAGGAGGAGGAGGAGGAGGAGGAGGAGGAGGAGGAGGAGGAGGAGGAGGAGGAGGAGGCAGAGGAGGTTGATGAGGAGAGGGATGAATAGGAGAAGTCGGAATCTGAGAGCTCGCTGGAAGAGTAGTCAGATGAAGTGGTAAAGGAGGTGCCGGAATCAGAAGAGGAGGAGGAGGAGGATGAGGAGGAGAAGGGGTTGGGAGGAGGCATGGCTGTGTGTGGTCGAAGAGCCATCTCTGTGTGCCACTGTGTGGAATGGGAGGGGACGGGAGGGGAGGGCATTGAGGGGGGGAGAGGGGAGAGGAGGGGAGGGGAGGAGAGGGGAGACATTTTTGTCAATTCGAATGAGGTATGGGCATGTGGGGTGTGTGCCATTGTGGGAGAAATGGAGAGGAGAGCGGAATGGAATGAAGGGAAGAAGAGAGGTTACAAGAGATGAGAAGGATGAGTAGTTAAGAGGGAGGAGGGGAACTGGAGGGCAGCAGAGAGGGAAGGAAAGTTATATATGAGCCCTGTGATCTTCAACATAGGCATGGCAAAGCACCGTCCATTCAGAAGCTCACACACACAAAATGGCACCGTAAGTCACTGTTAGAATGACTTCCTCACCTTCCCCCTTCCCTTCCACAATGTTCTTTGTGAGTGAATGTAGGAGGAGAAAGAAAATTAGGTTCTGTTTGGGAGCAGCCTTGGCTGTGGTTCGGCTGCTGCTGGCATTTTCGCAAGAGTGCGAGAGGGGCTTGGGAAAGATGCGTGGCGTGGGGGGGAAGGTGTGTAAGAGGGAGGATGTGGATTTGGACTGGTTGGAGTAGGTGGTGGCATATAACCTGCCTGAGACACTCAAGAGCCATATCATCTTGAGCACCTTGGAGGGCTACACGCTACCATCCACTCCACCCAAATCCAGATCCACGACTGTCCTCTCACACACCTTCCCCCCCACATCACACGTCTTTCTCAAGCTCCTCTCGCACTCTTTCGAAAAGGGGCGGCAGCATCCAAAACAAAAGCAAACAGCAATTCAACAAGTTGCACAACAAATTGCAACGTTGAGCGGCACCATGCACGTAACGATGAGAGAGCAACCTCGTAACGGCAACTTCTCAAATGTCACACACACACACACACACACACACACACACACACACACACACACACACACACACACACACACACACACACACACACACACACCACTCTAGCCTCCACAGTGTGAATTGCAGTCGCTCCAGTCGAACCTCTGCCTCCCGGACCGCGTGCACGTAACGATGAGGGAGCAGCCTCGTATAGGCAACTTCTCAAATGCCACACACAATCACGCACCTCTCTAGCTTCCACAGTGTCGATAGCAACTGCTGCAGTCGAGCCCCTGCCACCCAGACCGCGGGCAGCAGTATGCACATAGCGATGTGAGAACAGCCTCATTAAGGCACTGAATCACAATGTCACACAACACACACATGCACACACACACAATCACGCACCTCTCTAGCTTCCACAGTGTCGATAGCAGCCGCTGCAGTCGAGCCCCTGCCACCACCACTGCTACGGCGGGCGGCATCATGCACGTAACGATGGGAGAGCAGCCCAAGGGAGAGAACAGGAGCAAAGAGCGCGTGGAAGGACGCCCGGGGAACCACCTCTAGCTCTGCAATTGTCTCGCTCAGTGGCTTACTCGCGGTTACAGGGTTACCACCTGCAAGTCCGGCTTCTCCCGCTCCGCTCCTTCCCCCTTTCAAATCTGCCTGGAGGTACTGAGATAAGAGAGAGAGAGCTGAAGCTTCCCCGTCTACTTGTGGAAGTTGTGAGGGTGATTCTTGAGTGTTTGTTCCGTCCATTTCTTTTCCTGCCAGCGATAAGAGCTCCTCCAATGAAGGCAAGGCTCCTGTGACGCGTGAGAGGAAAGAACAGAAAGAGAAGAAGAACTGAGAGCAGGGAAACTGAGGAGGAGAGGGATGAAAGGGCTGTATGGCTGTAATAAAATGTTCACAGAAACAACATGATAGTTGCTGAATTGATAAACACTAAACAGTAGAACCTCAGACAAAATCAGTGAACGGCTTTAAAAAAACTGAAAATCCGAGAATCTGAGAATTCTCAAAGACACCCTCCACTTTACATGAAGTGGCCAAGGCGATGAAGGGTCAGGTAGGGAGTGGGTGGAGTGAAGGGAGAGAAGAAGAAAGATTAGTGCCACCCACCACCACAGCCAATGCGAGCAGGGAGAGGGAGAGGCCTATATAATTAATTTTAGAAAATAATCACGAGAAGGAAAGCACCCACCAGAGTCGATGCCAGCAGGCAGGAGGGGAAGCGCAGAGGGGGGAGGCAGAGGCGGGCAGGGCTGCCCTCTCTGCTGCTTGAAGGTGGTGAACTCAAGTGCGAGGGGATCCTGATGGTGGGATGGGTGGAGAAAAGGACATAAGTAATGGTCGAGAAGCAATGTACAAGCTGCACTAGTTCTCTTGAGGTTGCCCGGACCTTCGAGTTGACGAATATTTAACCCTGAGGGACTCAACCACTCATGCCACTCAGCTCAACCATACCTGGCAGTCGTGCAATGCAGCTCGCCATGTCTCCACAGAGACTCTCTTCTCCTCCTTCGCTTTCCCTTCCTGCTGCCCTTGTGCTATCAAGGCTGACCGGACCTGCTCCAGTGGAAGCTTCCAGCAGGTTTCCACCTCCTCCTCTGCCACTACAGTACGGACAGATGGAACCTGCAATCGTGCCAAGGAGGGGGATCGTTGGAGGAAGACGGGGGGGGTGGGAGGGGAGGAAAGAGGGGAAGGGGGAAAGTTTGGGAAGGAGGGAGGGTGGGTGGAAAGGGTGGGTGTTGTGCATGGCAGGGAGGCGGGGGGAGGAGGAGGGAGGATTGTATTGAGGGGTGAAAGGTAAAATTGGAAAGATTCCCCGCGTACCTGTTGACACAGCTTTGCGATTGCAGTGGAGGAGTCCCCTCGAGCAATGATGAGGTCGGAACCGAGGGAGAGGAGAGAGGAGCGCAGGGAGGAGACGGACGAGAGGAGCAGCGGTAGCTGGCTCGTAGGGAGGTCTGGTGGGAAAAGGTGGTACAGACGAACACAGAGAGAAGGCCTGTGAGTCGAATCAAGGTAGGAGCGCGGGGAGGAGATGGATGAGAGGAGCAGCGGTAGCTGGCTTGCAGGGAGGGCTGGGAACAAGTTACGTGGGTGGGAGAGAACGAAGAAAATAAGAGGTGGAGATGTGTGGGAGGAAGAGGCGAGAAGACGCCGAGCAATAGGGGAGAAACGGCTGGGGCGAGTATGTGGGGAGAAAATGGGGTGATATGCCAAGATGATTGGAGTAAGATGGGTAAGATGGGAGGTGGGAGAGAGCAGAGCAGACGCAAAAGCTGCTTGCTGACCTGACAGGAAATTTGGATCAAGGACGAAGAGCGGAATCGCATGGCTTGTAGCTGCAGATGCCAACAGTGCTGATTCGGTTGTTGAAGCGGCAGAGAGGGCATGCAGGGCGGGATGGTCGTTCACCCTCAGGTCATGCTTGAACCACACGATCGTCGTGGAGGCTGGTGGGATAAGGAGGGGGAAGAGGAGGGGAACGGCACTCTAAGTAATGAATCAGAGAGAGTGCAGGGCGGGATGGTCGCTGACCCGCAGGTCATGCTTGAACCACACGATCGTTGTGGAGGCTGGTGGGGTTGGGACAGGGGAGGGAGGAGGGAAGAGGGGGAAGGGGGAGGGTGAGAATGGCAGTGTATGTGTCGAAGCAGCAAGTGGGTGGCTGGGATGGTCGTTGACCCTCAGGTCGTGCTTGAACCACACGACTGTCGTGGAGGCTGGTGTGGTGGGTGGAGGCGGGGCGAGGATAGGAATGGCAGTCTATATATCCTCAGGTCGTGCCTGAATCACACGACTGTCGTGAAGGCTGGTGAGGTTGGAGTGGGGGAAGGATGGGAATGGCCTGAGGTCTCACGCCTGAATGTCAAGTCTCGAACCTGAATGTCACGTCTCACACCTGAATGTCACGTCTCACACCTGAATGTCACGTCTCACACCTGAATGTCACGTCTCACACCTGAATGTCACGTCTCACACCTGAATGTCACGTCTCACACCTGAATGTCACGTCTCACACCTGAATGTCACGTCTCACACCTGAATGTCACGTCTCACACCTGAATGCCACGTCTCACACCTGAATGTCACGTCTCACACCTGAATGTCACGTCTCACACCTGAATGTCTCTCACGCCTAAATGTCAAGTTTCACGCCTGATTGTCAAATCTCAGGCGCGAATGTCACGTCTCGAGCCTGAATGGCAAGTCTTAGCGCGTGAATGTCATGGATGTCGAGAATCATGTCAGAGTTCACTTCTAACCGACGGCCCTCACCATCTGAGACTGCGCTGATCGACGCCATGGCAGTTCGGCTCCTGCTCCCACGCACACTCCCGCTTCTCTCGCTGCGCTTTCTCGCTCCACATGATGTCAGCAAACTCAAATTTCAAGTCGAGATTCACATCTGATATAGGATGATCGACGATCCTCACCTTCTGAATCCGCGCTGATCGACGCCATGACAGTTCGGCTCCTGCTCCCACGCAAACTCCTGGTTCTCTCGCTGCGCTCGCTTGTTCGGCATAAATTAAGCGGGTTCGGATCGCCACCCGGCTGCACGGATGGTCCTTTAAGAAAATCCCTCGAAGCTCGCGAAATATGGCATCCTCTCTTGGTAAGCCGACCATCGCGGAGGTACTGGCGGTTCCTGGGCGAAGAGAGGAGAACGCGAGCGTTGCTGTGAGTGGACGACGATATCGGTGTGCCGCTTAACGCGGACGCAACGCGGTTAACTCCCGTGCTGGCTTGAAGGGAGGAAATCGTCGCCGACATTCCCGCCAGATGAGCGACAGAAACGTCGCAAAGGCTGGAGGAAGTAGTAGTACGCGTCCTCAACTCACGGACGCAGAGAGCCTGTGGCAAGGAAAGAAGCGCCTGTCCCTAGGCCAGCTGAAATAAGAGCGAGCCTGGAGGCGCGAGCGAGCTGCGGCGGACGTCAGTAACTTGTGTGAAGCAGACCAGAAATATCTGTCACATGTGTCCAATTCGAGTTGCTCCATGCGTTCTCGGGCACATTCTCGTCTCCCTCGAAATCTCCACGAATTTCGTTTCCTGCTCTGATAGGCCGAAGAATTCTGGCAACGTGGCAAATTTTGAGACTTGGAGGAGCCTCGAAAATGCCGATGTCATACGGTAGGTTCGCCGGGGCGGTTGAGAAAGCTCAACCGCTAACCGCCAATTGCAGCTTGCACTAATGGGGATGGAGTTCCCCGTGCAAATGCAGCCGCGCAGGAAAGAGGGGGTGGTGGTTGGCGAAAATTCTGGGCGAACTGTTTCGCCAAGAAGGTAACCTTGCTGAGTTTGATGGTGATTCCCGTTGCCGTGACAACGAGGTCGCAAACGCTCCAAAACCGGAAGTCCCGAAAGCGACGGCTGGAAAGTGGGGTGGTGACACCTTGCATTGCGAAATCACCCACGAACAAGTCGGGGGTTTGCGAGGCGTTTTTGTAGGTGACCGAAAGAACCGTTGCACATCGCGGATGCGCCATGCGGCAACGGGCGGCAGGGGCCCTCGGAGTTTCACTCTTTTCATTCTCAAATATCTGGTTCACTCAGTTCAAGTCCTGCCAATCCAGTAGTAGGCTTTTGGGTCCTGACATTCAGCATAGCTGTGCATTTCACATCATTTCCTTTCGTTCCGTCATCCTGGAAACGCGTCGACAAATAATCAAGGGCTCGTGCGCTAACCTGACACCATGAGACGCCCTCTGCGTTCTTCATAGATTAAGACTCCCAAGTCGCGAGAAGACGCGGGACTCGCCGAACCATTTTGGTTATTGTTTTCGCATCAGGTGGTTTTGGTTATAACAGACGAAACTCGCGAGTCGCCAGCTCCATGGCTTCACGCACCAGCAACAGCGACGTTAGAATAGCAAAGAAAACCCCCGTGAGGCACGCAGTCGACGAAGCTAGCCATAGTGAAACCTCGAAGCCGTTGAGGGAGAAGTGCTGGCGGGTGAAACACGACGTGCTCTTCTCGGAATGGAAGGTAACTCCATAAAACACCTTGTTATGCAAAGAAATATGGTTGAATATATACAAGTTTTCGTACATGTATAACCATTTTGATTACCTTCGCACGACGTCCACTCCCCATTTTCGTTTTTATGCTAGTCTTGAAAGTTGTGTGACACCCAGTGTGTGCTCTTTCTCTCACATAGAAGGCTCACTTGATCATTGTCGCTTGTTCCCGCCTTTCCATCGCCCCCCTTCCCTCTCCCTGTTGCTTTCCTCCCCTCTTCGCGCCAGCTTCTAATCGCCGCTGACGATTGGTCCAACCATTCCCAAGGCGTCTTTTGAGGCGCCTCAAAACTTGTTCCCCCCTCCTCTCACCCCTTCCCTCTCCCTGTTGCTTTCCTCCCCTCTTCGCGCCAGCTTCTAATCGCCGCCGACGACTGGTCCACCCATGCCCAAGGCGTCCCCGGAACCACGCGGTACCGCATTGCAAACCTTCCAAGCCAAACCGGTCCGGGCGTGTACGAGCTCGGGATCCTGCCGAACCGGGTAGTTCGGCGGCAGCGGCGGCTGCAGGGGTTGCCGGTGCGGGTGGTGTATGTGGGGCATTCGGAGAGTGTGAGGGGCAGGATGCAACAGTACGGGCAGTCAGGGTCGCACCTAAAAGAGCTCTTTGAAGGGGTGTTTGCGGAGGACTATGCTCTCACCTTTCGTTGGACCTCTGTAAGCCGTGGGTAGCAGCAGAGAGGGCGTTTGTCTGTTGTTGGGGCGGTAATTAGAGTGTGAGGAGCAGGATGCAGCAGTACGGCCAGTCAGGGTCGCACCTAAAAGAGCTCTTCGAAGGGGTGTTCGCGGAGGACTATGCTCTCACCTTCCGATGGACTCCTGTAAGCCGGGCTCCCTGGGATAGGAAGGATCACAGAGTGCATTTCCTGCTGGGGTTTTTGCTATCACAGTGTCTCCCGTCGGGGGGGTTGTTGTCTGTGGTGCTGGTTCTCTGGATATTGGAAGCTGGTCCGGTGCGGGTGGTGTATGTGGGGCATTCGGAGAGTGTGAGGAGCAGGATGCAGCAGTACGGGCAGTCAGGGTCGCACCTGAAGGAGCTCTTCGAAGGGGTGTTCGCACAGGACTATGCTCTCACCTTCCGATGGATCTCTGTAAGCCATTTGATAGCAGCAGAGAGGGTATTAGTCTGTTGTTGGGGGGGGGGGGGGCGCTGGGGTATTGTTGTGTCGCACCTGAAGGAGCTCTTTGAAGGGGTGTTTGCGGAGGAATATGCACTAACTTTCCGCTGGACCTCTGTAAGCCGTGTTTAGGAACACAGAGGGCATTAGAGCGTTAGCGGCAGGATGCAGCAGTACGGGCAGTCAGGGTCGCACCTGAAGGAGCTCTTTGAAGGGGTGTTCGCACAGGACTATGCTCTCACCTTCCGATGGACTCCTGTAAGCCATTTGGTAGCAGCAGAGAGGGTATCTGTCTGTTGTTGGGGGGGGGGGGGGGGGGGGGGGGGTATTGTTGTGTTGCACCTAAAGGAGCTCTTCGAATGGGTCTTGGCGGGCGGAGGACTATTCCCTCACCTTTCGTTGGACCCCTGTAAGCCATTTGGTAGCAGCAGAGAGGGTATCTGTCTGTTGGGGGGGGGGGGGGTATTGTTGTGTCGCACCTGAGGGAGCTCTTCGAAGGGGTGTTTGTGCAGGACTATGCTTTAACCTTCCGATGGACCTCTGTAAGTCGTGTTTAGGTGACTTTTGAGTCGACTCAAGAAGCGGCTCTGCAAGATCGCAGGCTCTCCTGCTACTTCACCTTCCGATGGACCTCTGAAAGTCGTGTTTAGGAACACAGAAGGCATTTGTCTGTAGTTGGGGGACATTGGGAGAGTGTGAGGAGCAGGATGCAGCAGGACTACTCTCTCACCATCCGTTGGACTCCTGTAAGCTGTGGGTAGGAGAACATAAGGAATGTGCTGCTGGGGTGTTTGCTACCAACGGGTTTCACTCTTGCCTCTTTTGAGTCGACTCAAAAGTCAGCTGAGTCGACTTAAAAGTCAGCTGAGTCGACTCAAAAGTCAGCTGAGTCGACTCAAAAGTCAACATAAGGAATTTGCTGTTGGGGTGTTAGCTACCAACGGGTTTCACTCTTGCCTCTTATCGCCCATCCCCATCCCCTCACTCCATCAACATCCCTCCCCCTCCCCTCTCCTCTTTCACAGGCGGCCTTAAAGGCAGAAGCAGCAGCAACAGAAACCCTGCTGCTCTCTTCCTTTGACTACATCCGGAACGTCTGCAACAACCACCGCCGCCGCCACGACCGCCTCTTGACCAAGCTGCAAGTCGGCCCGTCCTTCTCCTGCCATCTTCCTCATCCCTGTCCCCATCCCCAACCCCATCCCCATCCCCATCCCCATTGCCATCCCCATCCCCATCCGCACCTACCCCCCCACCCGTGTTCCCCAGGCTGTGACAAAAGCAGAAGCAGCAGCCACCGAGACCCTCCTCGTCTCTTCCTTCGACTACGTTTGGAACGTCAGCAACAACCACCACCGCCGCCACGACCGCCTCTTCACCAAGCTGCAAGTCAGCCCGTCCTTCTCCCTCCTTCCTCAACATCATCCCCATCCCCATCCCCATCCCCATCCCCATCCCCATCCCCATCCCCATTGCCATCCCCATCCCCATCCGCACCTACCCCCCCACCCGTGTTCCCCAGGCTGTGACAAAAGCAGAAGCGGCAGCCACCGAGACCCTCCTCCTCTCTTCCTTCGACTACGTTTGGAACGTCAGCAACAACCACCACCGCCGCCACGACCGCCTCTTGACCAAGCTGCAAGTCGGCCCATCCTTCTCCCGCCGTGTAGCCGTTGCCTTCCCCTTCCTCCCTGTCGCTCGACTCGTCACTCCTGTGGCTGTTGGACCTGCAATCCCTCTCGCCGCGGCTGCGGCTACTCCCCTTCCTCCTGATTCACCTACTGCCCCCCGTGCTGCTTCTCCTGCTGCCGCATCACGTCCTGACATTCCCTCTGCCATCGACCATGCTAATCATTCTGCTGCTAAGCCCCAGGAAAGACAACGACAGGGTAGATCACCAGGCACGCCACCAGGTAGACCAACAGACAAAACTCCTGACAGATCACCTGGCAGAACACCTGAGAAAAGACAAGGGGATTGTGGAATCAAGGTTTGTGGGGCTCCACTCTCGCACGGGGGAGTATGTATGCAGGCAGCAGTAGAAGGGCGAGAGCGGTGTGCCGAGCATAAGGGCATGCGGGTCAAGGCTAGTCTTGAAGTTTCTGAAGCGCCTAAACAGCAGGTGCCTCAAAAGCCATCCTCCCCTCTCTCAAAGAGCGCCTTAGGTGTTGCTGCGGCTTGTGGGGTGCCGCTTGTTGATGGCGGAACTTGCCAGGAAGCTGCTGTGAAGGGTAGAGTAAGGTGTGCTGCGCATAAGGGTATCCGTGTCAAAGGGAGAGGTGGATTGTGACTATAGTGAAAGGACATGCCGTGTCATACTATCCTATGTGAATATGGTGAAAGTGCATCTGGAATGTGACTATCTACAATGGTCTATGCGGTTGAGTGAGGGTGTGCATGCCAGAGGGGAGGCGTTCTGTTACTGCTGAAGGGGAATGCAAGGCAATGCAATGCAATGTTCTTTTGTGCAATGTGAAAGGGTGACACATTTTAAAGCTCGCGGCCCAAATTGTTCAACCTTAGTAAGGTTGAGCTTTGGGTGGCGTGGCGGGAGAAGAAAGTTGACTTGTTGGGAGTTGGGCTGTTTAGTTTCGCCCAGTTTCACGCTAGACCCTTGGGGTTTTCGCTGACGCGGCAAACCCCTGGGAGCAGCCCGGGTTTGCTTCGAGAGTCCCAAATTGCACTCAACATACCGTATTGTTGTTGTTCCCTGCTCTCCCATTCGACAAAAAATATCTGGCCAATCAGATTGCATCTCACTTCTCGTAACCACCCTTCGCAACCCAAACAGCACTCAAAACATCACCCCCATCAACCTTAGTAAGCTTGGCCAGCGCGCCCCGCAATTTGGGCCGCGTGCTTTAAGGTGAACGAATTTCCGCAACCATTGCTTCAATACATTCCACATTCGAATGTTACGGTGTAGCTTGCCATTGCCATACCATGTGATGTGAGCAGCAAGCCATCATCAGAGGCGAAATACTGCTCGGCCTGCTGATTTCCAAGCGCCACCTCATGAAGCCACTGCATGGCATGCTTTTTTCAAGTGGCAACCCCTTCAAGGCAAGGTGCGGAATGGGCTGCTATGGCAGTTTTACGTAACTACCTCTTGCAGGCAATGTGCTATCTCTCTGCTTCTAATTTCAAGTGAGTACCTCTTAAAGCCCAGGTATTGCATGGGTTATTTTAGCCCTGGAGGCACCACTGATGGCTGCTGCAGCTGCTTTGCTTCTAATTTCAAGTGGTTACATCTTGAAGCAAATGTGCTACCTCTTAAAGCCAAGGTACCGCATGGGCTGCTTCAGCCCTGGAGGCACCACTGATGGCTGCCGCAACTGCCTCCTCTGCTTCTTGGTCTGCAGTAGTGAACGATTTAAAGAGTGGGTTGAGAGGCGAATGACAATGGAAAAGAGGGGGGAAGGGGTGAAAACGGGAAAGGAAAGATACGTGGGGGGAGTTGAAAATCCATCACGACGTAGCACAGGAAAAAAAAAAAAAAAAAAAAAAGGTAATGATTTAAAGCATACCTTGGTGCTCGCGTTATGCCTCTTGCCTGCCCGCCACCGCTTGTACTCGCCATTGGCTAGCAGCTTGAACCGGCGCTTGAGTGACCTTCATAGAACCAGTCAGAGGGGAGAGACGGGAAGTGCAAAACAAGGATAAACGTGCGTGTATTGAGTGTGCTTCACAGAACATCTTGCCAACCCACCACCGCTTGTACTCGCCATTCGCTAGCAGCTTGAACCGGCGCTTGAGAGAGCTGGACACAGTCAGAGGGGAGAGAAGAGGGAAAGTGGAAAATCAGGATAGGTGTGCGTGTATTCAGTGCGCATCAAACCACATCTTGCCTGCCCACCACCGCTTGTACTCGCCATTGGCTAGCAGCTTGAACTGGCGCTTGAGTGAGCTGGACACAACAGGATGGGAGAGGAGAGGAACGGGAGACAGAAGTATAAGTGTGCGCCATTCAGCGAGCATCGAACCACATCTTGCCAGTTCGCCGCTGCTTGTACTCGCCATATGCTCGCAGCTTGAACCGGCGCTTGAGTGACCTTCAAAGTGCACAATGGGAGAGGGAGGAATGGCAAAAGAAGGATGGGTGCAAGTGTGCTGACGTGGATAGGTTTCCGTTTATTGCATGTCCATTAAAAGAGGGCATTTTAAAGAACTTCATGGGAAAGAGGAAGGTACGAGAAGAAGGGGAGAGTGAGATAATGAACATGGGGGCGGATGGGAGGAGGGAGAGGGAAATAGGATTCGACATGAACAAGGCTGGACTCAAATTGGTTGTGAGTCGTGACAATAATGAAGGGTGACAAAACAGGCGACACACACGGGATGTGATAGAGAAACGGGGTGTGACAGAAGCTGACGTGACTCACGAGTAGGGTTTGACTTTGATCTTGCTGCCGAACAATCGTCGGGCAGAGAGTACAGACGAAAGGACAGATGAAAGGGCAGATGAAGGAATGGGAGTGCTGGTGATAGCGCTGGAGGTTAGAGACGGCTTTAAACTGCGGCTGATAGTGGCACCGTCCGCTAGTCTTGAAAGGCTACTAACTGAAAAGTTACTGAAGGAACAGCTAGCTGTAGGGGTAATTAGTCGCGATGTAACTGGTCTCCTGATTAGGGGTCTGACGGACAGAGGAAGGGGAGGAAATGACGGAGATCTAGCTGTTGTATACGCGGGAGAAAGTGGGGAAGAATGGGCGGAGCGATGGGCGGAACGATAGGCGGAAACGTTGGCGGAAACGTTGGCGGAAAGGTTGGACGGCGAGACGATCGCAGTTCGGGGTGGCGGTGGCCGCGGAAGCCGGGTAAGTTGCCGCGATGCGTGGCTGAAAGCGGCTCGACAAACATGCCGAACGGATCGTGAGGACGACATGTGATTGGAGAGGGATAAAATCGCCTCGTCTTCTAGAAAAGGGAGAAAATAGGATCGGTAAGAAGGCTCTGGTCAAGGTGCGCGCGGCGGGAAGAGGGGCGTGGCGGAAGGAAGTTGGCGCAAGGAGGGAAGCGCGCGTGCGGGATGCGCGGGAAGGCGGGATGCGCCGAACGAGATCGTGCTGGTGAGCGGAAGATTGAGCCAGGAATGGGGCGATGGGGCGGGCGGAGGGTTGGTGGTCCGAATTCGCGATGCGGAGAATGGCGGACTGGCGATGAACGGCGAGGTTGAGGCGGAAATGGTGGCGGCATGGATGGTGGTGGTGTAGATACGAGAAACGGGACGTCCGCGTTAATAGTTGTGAATCACTACTACCAGTGTTACAGTTGTCACGATTGTTTGAAACGCTAGACACCACATTTCAACAAAAATTAATCTTCATTGTCATCACATGCGATTGGTTACAGGTCATCGTCCTTGTCTTCCATATCCTCCTCCATTTCCTCCTCAATCAAATCCTCCTCCTCCTCTATCCCTTCTCCATCATCGTCCAACTTCATCTTCCCAGTTCGTCTGGCCAATTCCTTCTCTCCCGCAGAGTCCGCACGAAACCGGGCCATCTCCGCACTCTGCCTCTCCGCCTCTTTTTTCTCCTTCTCTGCTCTCATCTTCTCCAAGTCAACCCTGCATGCCAAGCAGTTTGAGAAGAAAAGGAATACACAACAATCAAGCAGAGTCGGCACAGAACCGGGCCATATCCGCACTCTGCCTATAAGCCTCTTTCTTCTCCTTCTCTGCTCTCATCTTCTCCAAGCCAACCCTGCATGCCGAGCAGTTAGAGAAAAGTACCAAAACAATCAAGGAGATTCAATGAGAATGAGAAATGTATGCAGCAGTGCCAAAAGATGCGACATGAAAAGCACTTGGGAGGCCGCACAATTGAAAATCGATGGAAAGTACTGCAGACACCCCCCACTAGGTCAATATTCAAGCAATTTTCATCCGAAACAGGCACTTTCTGAGTCAGCTTTTGAGGCTCTGAAATCTGAAGCTGCTCTCACCTGTAGCCTTCCATGTACTCTTTTCTGGCCGCCTCTACAGCGGTGAAAAACTCATTAATACCCCCTCCTGTGACAGCTGAGACTCCAACGGCGTGCAGGTTGGAGTAAAACTCGTCCAAGGCGAGGCAGAGGGAGCGGGAGAGCGAGGCGGCGTAGGAAGGATCTCGATCCACTGCTGCTTGAAAGGCTTCAAAGTCCCGCATCCACTGATGGGGGGAGGGGGAGGGGCATGGGGGAGCATGAGACAGAGGGAGCACGGAGAGGCAGAGGGAGCGAGTGGGGAGGCTGCATAGGAAGGGTCTCGATCCACCGCTGCTTGAAACGCCTCAAAGTCCCGCATCCACTGATGGGAGAAGGGGGAGGGGAGGGATGGAGAAGAGGCAGAGGAAAGAGGCAGATAGGGCGAGGCAGAGGGAGCGAGAGGGGGAGGCGGCGTAGGAAGGGTCTTGATTCATGGCTGCTTGGAATGCTTCGGTGTCCCGCATCCACTGGTGGGAAAGAGAAGAGTGGAGGCGTGAAGAAGAAGCACTTTATGATTCTTCAGCCGCCCAAGAAACTCCCATATGTCATGCATCCAGTGATCAGGGGGAATGGGGGTTGGATGAAGCAGGGGAGAGGGATCCAACCAAACACTCGTCTAATAATGCTTGAAACACCTCAAAGTCACTGGTTTTTGTGAATACAAATGAGAATTCAACAACATACTCAAATTCTCAAAAACCAGCTTGAAACACCTCAAAGTCACTGCTTAAACCCGTTGACTTTTGAGACGTCTCGAAAAACACCTCAAAGTCACTCCTTAAACCCGGGGAACTGCAAACCTAAACCCATTAGCCCCTAACCTCTTGATAAAAAGTCACCGCATAAACCCCAAACCACTTGATACCAAACCCCTTAACCCAGCTTTTGAGTCGACTCAAAAGCAGAACATTATCATATCTCAACTGCAAAGTCGTGCCGCGCCACGTCGGTCCTGTTAACCGCCAGCAGCAGCGTAACCGCGTCTTGTTACAAAATCCCATTCCACACAAACTTATAATACCCCAAATACCTTAAACCCGAGCATACCTCAACTGCAAAGTCGTGCCGTGCGACGTCAGTCTTGTTAAACGCCAGCAGCAGCGGTAACCGAGTCTTGTACAGAATCCCACACGCGTACAGCATGCTGCTTATAAAGGTGCCAGGATTTGCCGCCCGGGGTGTGTCCACTACAAAACAAACGGCCGTGGGAAACGTGGAGGCGAAGGCTTCGGTAATGATTGCTCCTGATGCTGACCAGGTGAAAATTTCGATCTGCCCGGGCGTGTCGATGAAAACGTAGTCGAGCGTGTCGGCTCGGCGCTCCACGAGTGTGATAACCTGAGAGGTGTGTGTGACACAGTCACAAACAGGAATGCGAAACGGTAGAGAGGAATAAGGTTCAGCAACACGTAGAATGGGCTCAGTTAAATGGCCTGGGTGTGTCGATGAACATGTAGTCAAGCGAGTCGGCTCGGCGCTCCACGAGCGTGATCACCTGAGAGGTGTGACAGTAACGAAATGGAAAGGGGGAGAGACAGGAAGGCTAAGCGACAGAGAGAAGCCAAGCGTTGTGTGATTACCGCAGGGGTGTGACAAAAACGAAGCGGAGGTGATTGGAAGCGGAAGAGCAGCGGAGGACGAGAGGCAGACACAGAGAACAGAAGGTCGGCAGCATCTGTGATTCCAATCCAACAGAAGGTCGGCAGTATCTGTGCTTCCAACAGAAGCTCACCAACATAGCGCCTCATTAATCTTGGTGTCTGCCTCTTCTGCAAGGAGAGTCTTGAGTTTTGAGAGGAGAGTTTCGAATCGACTCAAAACACGCACCTCATCAATCTTGGTGGTGAAGAGGTTCAGTGAGGTCAGAATCGCGCTGTTGGGTCCCAGCCCATACTCCTTCACGAGGGTCGAGGGTTCGAGGGTCGAGGGTTCAGAGAAACATACACACCTCGTCAATCTTGGTGGTGAAGAGGTTTAACGAGGTGAGAATTGCCCCGTTGGGTCCCAGCCCATACTCCTTCATCACGTTCTTGTAGTTCACCGTGTCTCGAATGTCAATGTTGGCCAGGTAGGGCACGGAGGGCACAGCCGGGTCAAGGTTGATTTCATGAGGTTCAGAGGGCTACACACCTCGTCAATCTTGGTGGTGAACAGGTTCAGTGAGGTGAGAATTGCCCCGTTGGGTCCCAGCCCATACTCCTTCATCACGTTCTTGTAGTTGACCGTGTCTCCCAAGGTCTGAGAGGCTACCAAACACCACACGCACCTCGTCAATCTTGGTCGTGAAAAGGTTTAATGAAGTTAGAATCGCGCCGTTGGGTCCCAGCCCATACTCCTTCATCACGTTCTTGTAGTTCACCGTGTCTCGAATGTCGATGTTGGCCAGGTAGGGCACGGAGGGGACAGCCGGGCACGGAAGGGACGGCAGGGCACAGCAGGGGGAAAGCAGGGAGGTGGAGGGGTTGATACGGCTACATACCTCGTCAATCTTGGTCGTAAACAGGTTCAGTGAGGTTAAAATGGCCCCATTGGGTCCCAGCCCATACTCCTTCATCACGTTCTTGTAATTCACCGTGTCTCGAATGTCGATGTTGGCCAGGTAGGGCACGGAGGGCACAGCCGGGTCGAGGTTGATGAGGTAGTGGGCTATCTTGCTGCCGTGCATGTGCGCATATAAGCGCTGCATTAGCGTTGTCTTTCCGCTGCCTGGAGGGGTTTGGGGGGAAATGTGTTGAAGTGCGAATGTCAATGTTGGCAAGGTAGGGCACGGAGGGCACGGCAGGGTGGAGGTTGATGAGGTAGTGGGCTATCTTGCTGCCGTGCATGTGCGCGTACAGACGCTGCATGAGAGTCGTTTTGCCTCTGCCTGATGGGATTCGAGAGGGGGGCATAGGAGGGCAGAGGAGGGCAGAGGAGGGAAGAGGGGGGCACGGAGGGCACAGCCGGGTCCAGGTTGATGAGGTAGTGAGCGATTTTTCTGCCGTGCATGTGCGCGTATAGGCGCTGCATCTATGTGGTTTTCCCACTGCCTGGTGTTGGAAGGATGGGGGAAGGGAGGGGAGCACAAAGGGGAGCACGGAGGACACAGCCGGGTCGAGGCGTTTGAGGTAATGAGAGGTGTCGCTGCCGTGAATGTGTGCGTCTAGGCGCTGCATGAGAGTCGTTTTGCCACTGCCTGGTGATCAGATGCACGCAGGGCACAGAGGGCAGAGGAGGGCAGAGTGCGGCACAAAGGGGAGCACGGAGGACACAGCCAGGTCGAGGCGTATGAGGTCATGAGAGGTGTCGCTGCCTTGCATGTGTGCGTCTAGGCGCTGCTGTTATGCATGCTGCTGCCATGCATGTGCGCGTATATTCGTTGCATCAAGGCCGTTTATCCGCTACCTGGAGTCTGGGGGGGAGAAAATCAGAGGGGGGGGGAAGGGGGCGGGGGGGTTGAGACGTGCTAGGCGCGAGAGGAGAGAGGGGATAGATTTGGGAAGGCGGAGAAGGGCGAGGGGAGAGGAGAGAGGGGAGAGGGGAGAGGGTAGAGGGGAGAGGGGAGAGGGGAGAGGGGAGAGGGGAGAGGGGAGAGGGGAGGGGGGAGAGGGGAGAGGGGAGAGGGGAGAGGGGAGAGGGTAGAGGGGAGAGGGGAGGGGGGAGAGGGGAGAAAGAGCGAAGGCCTGAAAGGGAAAAGGCGGAGAGTGCAGGGAAGTACGAGAAAGAGGCCTGCCTCCATTATCACACATTTATTGGGATAATCACACATTTCGTTAAAGTCACCACCAGGCCGTACCTGCCATGCCCACCACAATCACAACCATCGGTTTCTTCCGCCCTCCCCCCTCCCCTTGCTGCTGCGCTTCCGCCTGGCACGACAGCGCATTCCCTTCCCCTTGCGATTCCGCCGACCCTGCGTGGGCGCTCCCCTCCGCCTGCTGCAATCCGCTTTCCGCAGATCCACCTCCCCCGGTCCCTCCTCCCCCAGCTCCACCTCCCTCTGTTTCACCCGGTAAGTCGTTTCTATCCGCGGAAGACATCACGGTGGGGCGTTTTCGCAAGAAGGTCGAGTCAGTACGATAGCTCTAAAAAGAGTCAACCGAGTGACTCAACGAGTCAGGGAGTCAACGAACTTGAGCCTACGTGTCTACAAGCTCTCAATTCAACGATTTGAAGCTCTTAATCATAATTGGGCGCGCGCGGGGGTATAGACGAAGGGTATTTTAGGAATAACCGCCGTGCCAAGCAGACAGATCCTGATGTTATGTAGCAAGAGATTAGGTCGGAAAAAAGTTGGCCTTTTCTGGAAGCTCGAGGGGATTTCGGTAAGCAAATCAGTTTGTCTAGAGCGGAACGATTCGCAACCAGTCAAGGAGATCAGGCCGGCAGGCAGTCAATATCGATGTCCTAACGCTACCTGCGAGTATGGGACTTCTGGAACTCGTTCTATGGAATACCAGACAGAAGAACAGCCGTCTTCAGTGATCACACACGAATTCGTTGCAAAGCGATGAAAAGGTGAACCGAGTCTGGAGGCTGGAAAACCCCTGATGGATTTACCACCGAGATCCAACCCTAACACAGGCGAGCCTAACGAACAATGACAAATTTGCTCATCAGAGGGCCCTAACTACTGCTGGAAATAACTCTCGGTTTCGAAGAGCCATGCTTTCTGAACAACCAGCAAATTTCGAAGGGACAGCGGCCCTTGCAAACCGGATTGGTGTCGGAACGTTCTGGCAGCTCTCGGGCAAAAGTGGCCGGCATAAACAAAAACGTCTTTACTTGAGTAGGCCATCACACTGTAGCGAGGATTACATGTGACGGAGGTTTAAGTGCAGTTCGACTTGGCTCTGAAACTGAATGCTGCTTGTTGATTGGCTGCACAATCAGCGAGCTTTTGCGAACTAGACGAACTATTAGGCAACCAGCTGATACAGTTCTCGAGAATATCGCAAGCACCGATCACCCCACTGTTGCTGGTTGAAGGTGGGTCACAGGTCTTATCTGGCAGGGTGCAAAAACAAATGGACAGCCCTGCTCCCTCCCAACCTTGTTACTGCAGGGGGAGGCTTCACTTCAAACCTTCTCCAGCGGAGAATTGCCAGGTGGTGGATTCCCTGAAAAAAATGAAGCTCTCCGCTTCCCTGCTGCTTCTCGTCCTCCTCGTTTGCACTTGCTCTCGTTTCCCTTCAACACCTTTGGATCGCTACAATGATAACGCCTTTTGCGTTCGGTTTTCTTTTCGGGTCGATCTTCTTGAAGGTAAGCAGCGCTTCTTGTACAATAACGAGGGACATGTGCGCAGGTTCTTGACATCTCGAGTTCTTCTTCGAATTCCCTACTCCGACATTCTGGGAGAGGTGAGTTGGGTTTGCAAGTTGTTTACGCTAACTCCGGGTTGTTGTGCTGTCACAGTTCGCCACTTCAGCAAAGGCCGTGTCTTGACCTTAAATGACGGCTGTTTTTCGCTCGAATCAAGGCATTTGTTATCTTATCCTGAAGACCTCCCTGTCCAAGCCGTTTGTGAGTCAGGATGGACCACCCTTGGCTGCATTCTCTCATGCAAGGCCCTTGCGGCGGTCCTGCTCCGTCCTCCAGACCCTGGCTTACCTGTTCCACCTCACGACCAGCTCGCAAACCCTCGTGGTGGCTTGGTGTTTCCTTACCTTTCACATGCGTCCCTTTCCGACTCGGGTAGCCGATCTGGCTCCCAGTCATGTTATCACGGCTGCTATGGCCATTGCCAAGGCACCTCTTTGCGCTCGAGCCGCTCACTTGCTCCCACTGCGCGATCCAGGCTTTTGCCTTCCGCGCTGTTCTCTGTCGCTCCGTTGCCTTCGGGCTTCTCCCCTCACCTCCGGTATAAACCCTTCCTCTCGTTTCTCTTACGATCACCCCTCGCAACCATGGCTACGGAGCATAACCCCGACCACGTCATGACGGAGGGTCAGATCCCTGTCGGCGACGATACCCTCGATGACCTTGGGGAAGAATTCCTCGAGGATCTCTTTGACGGCGCTCTGCCCGTGCTCAATGATGAGGTCGCGCACTCTGCTCCTGTCGGTACGCAACCGTCCCCGTCGGGCGAACCGGCTGCGAAAAAGCTATGTGGTGAGGGGCAGTCCTCGGCTGCTGGCCCTTCTGGGGTCGCTTCCGCGCCAACCTCGGCTCCTCTGCCGATCCCCCGTGCGAGCTCTTCCGGTAGCTCCGACGCCACGGCTCCTGCGCTTGGCCGCGCGCATGCTCCTTCTGCGCCTCGTTCGGCGCGTGCTTCTCGCTCCCGGCCCGTGCAGCCGGAACCTGAACCTGAGCACGCTGCTGCTGGTGCGGCCAACGGCCTCGCTCCTCACGTTCGCTTTCGGAACCTGCGTCGCCACCGTACGACGGTCGGTACTGTCTTGCACACGCTGACGCGGAACACGCAGTCCTTGGTGGATGTCATCTTCCGCCGAGGAGGTTCGTGCTGCGGTGCTTGCGCGCATCTCGGCTCTCATCAACGGTCAGGCCTTTAATGGCGTGATCCCCTCGTATGAGTCGGCCGCTGGTGAGACCCTGCGCCTTCCCCGCCGTACCTACTCCAGGCACTCATATTCCTGTCCTACTCTAGGGACGCGTCTGGGGCTCGCCGTCTCACCGATCCTGAAATCATGGCTCAATACCCCCCCCGAAAATATCCATGCAGCCGCAGAATCATCAAAGAGATATATGATGCCATGCCCAAGGAATGGTGGGCCGCTCTGGCGTCTTCTCACACCCTTGTTCCCCTATACCCCGGTGTTTGGGTTATGCTTGCAGAAGAGATGTTTTCCCCACCTAAGCAGGTGTTCGAAGTGGAAGACTCTCCCTCTGACAACAGCTTCTACGCTAACATGTACGCGGTGGATGATGTGAAAGTAGTAGCTAGAATCAGGAGCCATAGCTAGGAAAGCCCTTGAAAGGCATGAAAGAGTTTAGGCAAAAAGAGAGAGGTTTGCACTAGCAAGAATGAGGATACAAATAGGAAACCCTAGAAGGGTTGTACTCGCTATAGAGCACCCCACTACAAGCTAGAGCATAACATTCTGACACACCCCCATAGCCAAAGTGGGGTGTAATCAGCACAGTGAGAAAGCAGGTATAGAGCAGGAGTTGACACAGATAAGCAAAGCTAGAGCTAATCACAGCAGACAAGTGAGGAAGAGGAGGAGCTGTGGGGGAGAGAAGATGGGAGGCGACTGCTGACGCTGCAGACACACAGACGAGCTGCTGGCTCAGTTGCTACCGGAACAACGCTCCGGACTACTGGAGTAACTGGCCCCGCGGCTAAAAGTAGCGGCAGACGAGCAACGGACCCACGGGCGACTGGCGACTACCGGAGATTGTAGCCTCCGGACTGCTGCTGCTGCTGACGACAAGACTGCTGCCTCCACTCAACCTTCCCCAACTGCCCCACACTCTCGACACACACCCACTGCTCAAACCTTAGCTTCACTCCCACGCACCCCCCTTAAACCCTAAACCCCAGTCTCCCACTCATCCACCCCCCTCAGCGACAGCTGCAGCAGTGGGAGACGAAGGAGGAGGAGAAGAGGGGTACGGTGCGCACAACGGACACCCCCACAACCACCACCCCCACACTCCTCACCCCCAAACCCTAAAACGGGTGGGACGGGGAGGGAGCGCGGGGGACGACGAGGAGAACGGCGCGCGGCCCCCAGGGCGCCACCACGGGGCAGCGAGGGGCCGCGCGCAGCTCCCCAGGGCGCCACGAAGGGGCAGCGGGAGGGCGGCGACGGGGCCGCTGCGGGCGGCGACGGGGCCGCTGCGGCGGCGACGGGGCCGCGCGCGACACCTCTGGGCGGCGCGACGGGGCAGCGGGCGGTGCGCCAGAAAAGAACAGGGCCGCGCGCAGCTCCCCAAGGCGCCACGAAGGGGCAGCGGGAGGGCGGCGACGGGGCCGCTGCGGGCGGCGACGGGGCCGCTGCGGGCGAGGACGGGGTCGCTGCCCGCGGAGACGGGGCCGCGGCGGGTGGGGACGGGGTCGCTGTGGGCGGCGACGGGGCCGCTGCGGGCGGCGACGGGGCCGCTGCGGCGGCGACGGGGCCGCGCGCGACACCCCTAGGCGGCGCGACGGGGCAGCGGGCAGCGCGCCAGAAAAGAACGGGGCCGCGCGCCCCGGGGCGCGTGCCAAAGTGCAAATCGAATGCGTCGCACGCCACGGGGCGTGCGACAGAGCGTGTAGCAGCGGAAGCACTAGTACCCACAGGCCGAGAGCGTAACCGCTCTGAAACCATGTGAAAGTAGTAGCTAGAATCAGGAGCCATAGCTAGGAAAGCCCTAGCTAGGCATGAAAGAGTTTAGGCAAAAAGAGAGAGGTTTGCACTAGCAAGAATGAGGATACAAATAGGAAACCCTAGAAGGGTTGTACTCGCTATAGAGCACCCCACTACAGGCTAGAGCATAACATTCTGATAGATGAAACAAGTCGTATCGGGAAAGAAGCCGTGGCGCGTCAACTCCTCTTGACAATCAACACGGTGCCAGTACACGTTTTCGACAGATGGCTCGGGGGCTCCTTCTGCTCAGGAGCAGGGCTCGCTGCCCGGTTCCCCCTCCTCTCTGATGGCATTCCGTCGCTAGCTGCCATACGTGACCTCTCCTGTCAGAACATATAGCTTACTTGTTTCTGTAGGCTATAGTGGGGTATCCCATAGGGGGTACAACCCAATTAGGGTTTCCTATTTGTACCCACTTCATTTCATAGTCATTCACTCCCGTTCATTCAGTTTCACATGGTATAGAGCGGGTCCCTTCTAAGGACCGTTTTTTTTTTTTGGGCCCACCCACGATCTTTTTCCTGCCCGGAGCGCGCCCTATTCTCCTCGAGGCGCGCTCCCCCTAGTGCGCGTCGAGCTGCCCTTGTGGCGCCCCGAGAGTCGCGCGCGCGACTCATTTTTTTTCGCGCGCGCGGCCCGGGCCCCACTTCGCGCGGCCCTTACAGCCGCGCCGCGCCGCCCTCTCGGCTCTGCCGCGCCGCGCCACCCTCAAGACGGCCGCGCGGCCTCTTCGTCGCTGCGGCAGGCCCCCCCCCGCTGCACCTCTGTCGGCCCCGCCGCCGCCTTACCTGACGGCCGCCGCCTCACCTGACGGCCCGCCGCCTCGCCCTCTGGCCCGCCACCTCACCAGACGGCCCTGCCGCCTCACCTGACGGCCCACCGTCTCACCTGCTGGCCCGCCACCTTACCTGACGGCCCCGCTGCCTCACCTGACGGCCCGCCGCCACCTTACCTGACGGCCCCGCCGCCTCACCTGACGGCCCGCCGCCTCACCTACTGGCCCGCCACCTGACCTGACGGCCCCGCCGCCTCACCTAACGGCCCGCCGCCTGACCTGCTGGCCCGCCACCTCACTGACGGCCCGCCGCCTCCCCCGCTGGCCCGCCACCTGATCTGACGGCCCCGCCGCCTCACCTGACGGCTCGCCGCCTCACCTGCTGGCCCGCCACCTGACCTGACGGCCCCGCCGCCTCACCTACCGGCTCGCCACCTCACCTGCTGGCCCGCTGCACCCTGACGGCCCCACCGTCCCCGGTCCCGGCCCCGCCGCTGCACCCTGACGGCCCCGCCGTCCCTTGTCCCGGCCCCGCCACTACACTGCAGCCGAGCCAACCAGCAGCAGCCGAGCCGCTCAGCAGCAGCCGAGCCGCCCAGCAGCAGCCGAGCCGCCCAGCAGCAGCCGAGCCGCCCAGCAGCAGCCGAGCCGCCCGGTACCCGAGCCGCCCGAGCCGCCCGAGCCGCCCGAGCCGCCCCACCAGCCCGAGCCGCCTGCTGCTGTCCTACCCGACTCTCCTAGCCCGGTGAGACTTTCAGCTGCTGCCATGGCCACCCCCAATGTTCTTACTTTTGACGCTGAGGGGAGGGCCATTGACTTTGCCGTCTGGATTGAAGACCTGCAGCTGTACTTACTGTGTGATGCGATAGATGAGGTCTCTCTCTTTGACTTTGTCTCTGGCGCTGTCCCTGCCCCGCCTGCTGATGCTGACTCTGCTGCTCGCTCCAAGTGGGCGACCCGCGATGCTGCTGCACGTCTTGCTGTGCGTCGCCACCTCCCTTCCTCTGAGCGTGCCCACTTTAGTCAGTGCAAGACCGCTCAGGCCTTGTACGACGCTGTAGTTGCACGCTACTCCTCCCCTTCCTCCGCTACCCTTAGCCGCCTCATGCTACCGTTTCTCTTCCCTGACCTCGCTTCCTTTCCCACTGTTGCTGACCTAGTTACCCACCTCCGCGCTAGTGACACCCGCTACCGTGCTGCCCTTCCTGCTGAGTTCCGCGCTGCGAACCCTCCTCCCATGTACATCACTCTCTACTTTCTCGTCACCCGTCTCCCTGAGTCCCTTCGTGTCGTTAGGGACCAGTTTCTCTCTGTCTGTCCCACCACTCTCACTGTCGACCTCCTTGAGGAGTCCCTGCTAGCGGCTGAGAAGAGTATTGTCGCTGTAGGGGCCTCTCGGGGTGACCCTCGCACCCCCATCTTTGAGGGGTGTGGTCCTTCCCCCCTGCTGCCCTCTGTCGCCTCTGCCGCTGCGGCCGACCTCGCTGGTTTTGAGTCGGTCGGCGCGGCGTCTGCCCCCAGCGGCAGACGCCGCTCTGGCAAGGGCAAGGGGGGCAAGGGGGCGGGTGGAGCTAGAGGGGGCGGTGGAGGAGGCGGTGGGGGTGGAGGGGGGAGTGGGGGTGGCGGTGGGGGTGGTGGCGGGAGTGGAGGTACTAGTGGCGGCGGTGGAGGCGGAGGTGGCGGCGGAGGTGGTAGCGGAGGAGGCGGTGGGAGCGGTGGGAGCGACGGTCCTGGTGGGGGAGGTGGCGGTGGAGACGGGGGTGGCGGTAGAGGCGGGGGTGGCGGTGGAGGCGGGGGTCGGAGTGGCTCGTCCCAGCGGAGCAGATCTGGGGGTGGTCAGCGCCAGCAGCAGCAGCAGCAGCAGCAGCAGCAGCAGCAGCCGCAGCAGCAGCAGCGCTCTCGCACCGTCCCCGGCCCTCAGCAGCTCCGTGAGTGGTACTTGCAGCGTCAGCGCGGTGGTGCGCTTGGTCCCTGCCCCTACGTTCTTCGCACCGGTGACCGTGCGGGGGAGAGGTGTGGTGGCGCGCACACAGCCCGTCGCTGCTTTGGCCGCCTGACCGACGCCTGGCGTCAGCAGTTTCCGGAGGCCGCTGAGATCCCCCGCTGGGGAGAGCTGTCTAGGGCTGGAGTAGCTATTTATGATCTTGACTTTGATGCTATTCTCTCTGCTATGTATGCTGTGACTGGTAGTGATGAGGATGACTGTTACCGGTGTTTCCCGCCCGACCCGGGCATTGGTACTGCCGCGTCAGGTACTAGTGAGGCTGCAGCTCTAGGTGCCAGTGCGTCTGTGCTCTCAGGTGCTGGTGAGTCCGCCCTCTCAGGTACTGTGTCGGCTTCGGCCTCTCACACCTTCACCCTTGACTCTGGAGCGTCTCGCTCCTTCTTTAGGGACCGCACCACTCTCACGCCGCTGAGTCGGCCGGTTGCGGTGTCCCTGGCTGACCCCTCTGGGGGACCTGTTCTGTCTCGCTTCTCCACTGTCCTCCCGTGTCCAGCGGCCCCCTCTGGCACCCTGACTGGTCTCTACCTCCCCTCGTTCTCGACGAACTTGGTGAGTGGTGCTGACCTCCAGGATGCAGGTGTCCACCAGTTTACCCCTGCTCGTCAGCGGGTGACCCACTGTACGGAGGCGGATACAGGTCGTCACCTGGCTACGTTTACACGTCGGCCAGGGTCGAGCCTGTACACACTGACCACTGCTTCTCCTCCAGGTGCTGCGTCTGG